ATTCGTTCCTAGAGAGTAACGGGGAGAGGGTTGTATCCCTCCGGGACGGGATTGTACCCTGTGGGACAGGGCTGCATCCTTCTGGGACGGGGTTATACCCCTCTGGGATATGGTTGGATCCCAAAGAGGGGGCCAGAAGGGTGCCCACCCTGAAGGCTGTGGGCCCTGCGTGGGTGTGTCAGTGGAAGAAGTTGGCACAGGAGGTGTGGGGCGGTAGGAAAAGGCCTTCAAATAAATAGTAAACAAATATTTCTGAATGTTTGAAGATAAGTGGTCTAAAAAGCATGGATTGGGTCTCACTGGAGGCCCAAACCTGTGCTCCCTCGAGCAGCAGCAGGGGGGGACTCATAAGGGCACAGGAGCCTTCATTTAGGTCACAGGGCCCTCGGAGGGACACACTGCACCCCGGGGTGGAAGGCTCAAGCTTTTGGGCACAAGAAGGTTAGAAGGTGATGTGGTCTGATGTTTTCTTCTTCTGCTTATATTATACACTGCATTGACACTGTTTACATTACTGTTTTAGCAATAAATTGAATCATAATCATCCACATAGTCAGTGTTGTCACTTCTCATACCCAACCAAGAGTCTTCTCTCTACTAGTCTGCCACAGTCTCCCCAGTATTATCTGGGCCAAAGTACCACCAAGGCATCATATTTGGTATCAGACAGTCATCCATGACCATCATAAGGGTGTCGTTGGCTTCATGGTACGGGTTTAGAGTATTAGCTACCCAATTCCAGTGGCAAGGGACATGGTGGGACTTCAAGTAGTGATTGAGACTGGCTATGAAAGATCCAGGCGCTTCACGGAGGTGGACAGAATCCAGTTCTCCCTCCTGGAGAGCTTCTTCTGGGAGAAGAGGAAAACTGCACAGGATCTCATGAAATTTGCATCATGCCTGGGTACACAGCTCAGCATTCACAGATTTCCTCATACAAGACGTTGTTTTCCCTGCTTTATTGGTAAAGGAGGTGTGCCAGTGCCAGTCCTCCAGGTTCTTATTGCTCAATTTGTTCATATCTTGGTTAATTGGGTTCTTTAGAGGCCGATTTCATTTCTCCATCCTTAGCTGGCCTCTCAGCTTGGAAAATCCTGAAGAAGAAACCGTGTCAGTCCAACCTTACAGGTACAGAAATAGGCAAAGCATATTCTATACCACTTCTCTGGGCGTGGGAGATGCTGCACGTAGATGGATGTAAATCCTGCCACAGGCCTGGCCCTCAGCCTGTATGTCCCTGGAGCAAGGAGGTGGTTTCCAAAGGGTTTGTATCCCTTTGGTTATCCCTGGCACCAGGTGATCTTGTAACCCACCTGTGTGGCTCGAAAGGGAGCAAATTCCCACAGGTAACACTGTCCTTGGGAATAGGCTGCAAATCCCTTCATACTCCTGCTCATTCCCGAGCAGTTTTCCCCAGGATGCTCACAGAAAGCATAATGTAGCCCCCTGCAAGACACTTTTTCTGTGGACCCAAGGGTTTCAATCACACCCTCGAGGCAGAAATAAGTGTTCCAAACCTCAACTGCAAAAGGGGGTTGGAAAATCCTCTTTGCCTTTCTGTCCCTGGCAGCTTCTCCCCATCAGGACTGACTCCCACCAGCCTGAAGACAGATTGTGACACCACTTCAGATCTAAAGAGGAGCAGGTGACATAAACTGGAGCTTTTGGAGGAGAGGAGTTGGGGTGAAACACGTTGGAGAAGAAACCCCACAATTCTTTCCTTGGGATTAGGGCTTGGTCTCAAACTGGTGGCATCTTGTTTGCAACTAACTGGAAGAATTTCTGTTGTCTTTTTGCTAGGATTTCCTTAGAAATCCTGACAGAAACAGCAGCACTGACAGCCTCAGTTCTGGCCCTCTGCTGAGGGAGGAATATCTGTCTGGAATAGGGATATCCCAGTCTGCTACAGACTTCCACCTCTACTTTTTATGGGCAGCACCTGATAAGTAACCTGCCCTTACGTGGAGAATCAAATTTGACTGTGTGATACCCTCCAGACTCCTCAAACCCTAGGACAGTAACCTATTTCTATACCTGTACGGTATATGGAAAATAACAATTTCTCCTGCTAACCTCTGCTTTCCAGAATGGGAGAGAAATGCTCCACAGAATCATGCACCAATGAGGAAAAGAAATGAGAGCTACCCTGAATAAGGCCATTTGGAACTCAGGAGGTTCACCAGTTCAGTTGCCCTTCTTGCTATTTAAACAGCAAGGGAAGAAGAGTTTGCTGCTGCTTTGGCCCTTCACTGACTCCAAATACTCTGTTCACTGTGTGGGTCTAAACACTTACATACAAACACCTCTCTCATTCACAAAAGAGAACACACCACAAATTCTGCAATTTAATCAAATGGACCAGAAATTTTTTAATCTGTTCATGGCAGTGTTTATCCGAAACCTCAAAGTATGGAAGGTGGGGAGCCACAAGGAAAGGTTCCCTTTGAAAGGGAGCACGGCTGCTGCTCCTCCAACTTCCCAACAGGGAATAATTCTCCCACCTCTTCTACCAGACTCAGCAGGATGTTAGGGGAGCCCTTCATTGGCATCCTCAAGAAGAGGCTCTGGGGCGAGGTTGGACACTAACCTGTGAGCAAAGCCCCTTTTTGTGCTCAGCATTACTGCCAGGCCCCTGCAAACCCTCGTGCCTCCTTTTCCCAACAGGAAAAACAGGGATCATGCAGCTGATTGATGCAAGGATATCACTACCGAAAAAGAGTGAGCATTCCTCATTGCTGGGGCAGCAACCAAGTCTCTCAAGCACCTTTGAGTGAGAGCCAAGGGTGCACCAAGAGTCCTTGGCTCCTGCTGAAACCCACAGACCTCAACTGCAGCATCACCTTTTAAAGGCAGATTTAGGTCTCTGGCCGCCACATCTCTTGCGTCTCTCAGAGCGCGTCAATGGCGAGGAGGTGCCCAGGGCAGGGGGCCCTTCTTTCTGGATGCTATCCTCAGTCACAGTAGCAAAGAGGTGGATGCGAACTGTGTAGCTTCCTGTTACCTGGAGAAGGACAGAAAATTCAGCTGAGGGTCCAGGTGACATTTGCTGCTGTGCCCAGACTACTGCCTGCCCCAAAAGCTGTGGCACCTTAATGGGCAGGAGCACATCCACCTCTCCAACTGGCAAGTTAGTACTGTCAAAAAGCACTTCAATCCTCTCAGTGTTGCAGTAGGGCAGGCACTGCACCTGGTCCAGGTCCAGACTGAAACCTTGAACAGACAAAAATAAAGCAGCTGAGATAAACAAGCAACATGAACTGTGTCACACACACACTAAGGTCGTAGAGGTGTCCCAGCTGGCAGCTCTGGGAAAGACCATTCTGCATCTCTGGAGAAGGTGCTGCTCTTTTTAACTTGTCACCCACCACTCAAGGAGAAAGGGCTTTCACAGCCAGCATCCAAGGTCCACCTTGGATGGTAAAACCAAAACAGATCAGCTGAGCACCTCCAGCAATTCCTTCATCAGGCACCTCAGGGAAGGTTACGCAGAGCTCTCCAAAGGAGAATTTCCAATTAAGATCCCCCCGTGCTGTGCTGTTCCCTGGTCAACAACTTAGAGGAGACACCTGGGCATCCCTTAGACACAGCAAACCATAATGAAGTGTCCCAGGGCAGCCACAGGCAGGCCAGGTCCCTGGGCACAGCTGGCCAGGAGAATTCAGGCTTTGAAGCTCCCAGCAGGGGCACTGAGGGGAAAACACTCAAAAACCCTCCCCTTGTCTAGTGGCTTAAACTGATCCGTCTGAGACAGCTCCTTCAAGCCCACGGGAAGTCTCTCCAGCACTGGTTACCTGTGTCCTGCAGGACACGTGTCTCAATCTGGAAGGACACCGGGAAGGGCCCGGTGTTGGTGATGTCCACAGTGTGTGTTTCAGTGGCACCGCGAGTGACGCTGCCCATGTCCAGGATGTAGTTGGGCAGCTCAATCCTGGAAGGAGGAGTGAAGACAGTCCTTAAACCACAGCCTGGATACATGTCCAAGTGGATGGAAGATGCAAACAAAGTGGATAATTCTGTGTTCACTGCTGTAAAATCTCAACTCAAGCCCATGAAACTCAAGGCCTGACTGCCCCGCAATGACTTTGAGAAGTCACAGGGAGTGCAGCTTTTATCAGTTACCAGTGGTACCTGAAAATAAAATTAGTTTAAAATGGACACTGGTCATAGCTCCTCTGATATGAAAAGCCAGTGTAGATAAGTCCACTGGACATCCACTGGTCTCAATGAAACTGCTTAGCCTGGTGTAAAGCTTGAGCCTGAAATTGTTTCAGGGCCTTGGAATAAAATTTGCCTGCACAGGAAATCTTCACTGCTCTGCAACCAGAATCGCCCCCAAAGCAGCACCAATAAATGTAATCAACACTGGCAAAATTCATGGGAGGGTCCTTTCCCAGAGCAATCCCACAAAGGAAAGCACATGAATGATCTGTTTTGCAGAGCATCTTCTTCCTGAATTGGAGCCTCCTGTGCCTGTGATGCCTCATGAAGGAGCAAGGGGAAGCTCCCTAGGTAAGCCCTGCCACCTCACCGGCATCCAGGCCTGATTTAGGTTTTTCAAGGGTTTGGTGACCTGTGTGATTCCCTGCTCCTTTTGCTCAGTGTGCTCTGATAGTTGGAATCAAGATGGCAGCTTGGAGTTGTCAGCAGGGACAGTGTCTGTGCAGCCTGGAAGAGCTTGATGGTCTGTGCTCAGCCCTAAGAACAGAACCTGAGGGGGAGCTGAGCTGCTCCAAAGCTCAGCACGGTGCTGGGGGAGGGAGGACACTCAGCTGCTCACAGGAGCCTGTCACACCTATTGGGGCTGGACCCTTTCTGAAGTCCCCAGCTGTTCCCAGCTCTGCAGGCTGGGAGCTCTCAGGAGCAGGGAGAACTGCTGGGTGTTACCCTTGGGACACCTGGAGATAGGGGACTGGAGTCCCTACTCACTGGACAAGCTTCTGACGAATGTTCTTGTCAAAGCCCCTGAGCTCCGGGGGACGGGAGGTTACAATTCTCTGCTGCTTCAGGACATGTTGCTTTATGAGCATCTGCTCCATCTCTCTCTGCACCCAAGTGTCCCACTGAGGAAAGAGAAGGCAGTGGCTGGTTGGCAAGGGTTTGTCCCAACTCCCAGGCTTTTATCTGAAAGAGGATCCCACCCTGCTCTTGTTGAGAGGGGGCATGGGGTCGTCCTGTCTGGCTGCTCAGTGTCTGTGACACCTCCTGCTCTCTGAGCCAGGACCTTATCTCCAGGGAAGTAACTCCAGCATCTCTGCCTGCACAGCCACTGCTAGAAAAACTGATCTGGCCAGACAGACAGACAAGCCAGGAACCTTCCAGAGCTCCAGATATTTGCCTGCCCCCAACCAGTGCCAAAGCAGCTTGGATAAAAGCTCTCTTGGAAAGGGAACCACAACCAAGCCTCTTGGAGATGAGCACTGCCAGCACAGCCCCAGGGCACAGTCAGGCTGTGTCAGGCTGCTGTTAAGGTCTGTAAATCTGGCAGGGCTTGGATTGGGAGCAACAAACTCCCCGGCAATGACCTGCATTTTCTTCAAAGCACCATCAACTCCATCCCTTGAGCATGGCCTTCAGGATCTCTCCCTGGAGTAGCCAGGAAGCTGGTGCAGCTCCAGGAGGGACCATGACCAAAGGTGGGCAGCCCCTGGGCCAATGCTGAGCTGACAAATAGTCACAGCCAGATGTGGGCAGGGAGGTCCCAGGTGCCAGCAGGGCACCAGGAAGCTGCTGTGGGGTGCAAGGGGTTCAGGTCACATGGGGAGGGTGGCATGTGCCAATCGGGACAGCAGCTGTTCTTACCACCATGCTGTCGTCAGTGTCAGAGTCAGTGTCAGAGGCAGCCACGGATGGCACCGTGGATGTCTCCTCAGGTGGCTCCTTGGATGTCTCCTCAGGTGGCTCCTTGGATGGCTTCTGAGATGGCACCTTGGATGTCTCCTCAGGTGGCTCCTTGGATGGCTTCTGAGATGGCACCTTGGATGTCTCCTCAGGTGGCACCTTGGATGGCTTCTCAGATGGCACCTTGGATGGCTCCTCAGGTGGCTCCTCAGGTGGCTCCTTGGATGGCTCCTCGGATGGCTCCTCGGATGGCTCTGTGGACAATTCCGTGGATGACTCTGTGGATGACTCCTCAGATGACTCCTCAGATGATTCCTCGGACGATTCCTCGGACGCCTCCTCGATAGCAACTGCTTCATCGATCTGAGTCTCTTCTTCCTCTTTTTCTATTGTCTCTTTCAGTATCTCCTCATTTCCTGAAGGAAAAAAATTACCCACAAATAGAAGCGTGGGTGCATTGCCAAACCCATTTAAGGTGGGAAGTCCCACTTCCCCAACACTGGCCTCTCCCAGAAACAAACCCCTCAAGTCACCTGGGGCAAGTGGATGCTGCTGCTCCTCGATGCCAGGGTCATCCATGGATGGCTCCACAGATGCAGGCTCTGACAGAACATCTGCTTCATCGCTCTGCCTCTGTTCTTGCAGATTTTCTTTTATCTCTTTCAGTATCTTCTCAAATTTTGCATGCCCTGAAGGAAAAAAATTATCCACAAATAGAAGTGTGGGTGCATTGCCCACACAAATAGAAGTGTGGGTGCATTTAAGCTGGGAAGTCCCACTTCCCCAACACTGGCCTCTCCCAGAAACAAACCCCTCGAGCCATCTATGGAAAGTGGATGCTGCTGCTCCTCTCTAAATCCTCATGTTCACTCTCAGCCATCATCCTCCTCACAGAGGAGCATCTCATCCCCTGAAATATCATGCAAATTCAACTCTGCCAAAAGCCCTGCCAGGCTCTCTTACAGTTTCCCCAAGGTTTTCTGTCTAGCCATCATCTTTCCAGGCCTCTGACAGATGTGCTGGCAAGATCTGCAGGATGGTTACTGGGACAAAGCCCACATGGGCTACTCTGCTCAAGACTCAGGAAGCAACCAGAGGGGCGAGTGTTGGTCTGGCAGCCTTGTAACCTCCAGGCTTGGTGGAGATGGGTGTGTGCTTCCCTTCAGGGGGAAAAAAAGGGGGGAAAAACCAGGAGGCCTTCCTAGGAGCAGACAGGTAGTGCTCACCTTTGACAAGCCAGGGCAGGTCCAAAGAGATCCTAAGAAAGGTTCCCTCTCCTTTCAGGGAGATTTCTGCTGGTTCCAGGTGACCCACTTGGATCTGGAGAGTGCTGCAGAAGACTCCTACTACTCCTGGCAGGTAATAGACTTTCAGCACTTGCTTCTTGCCAGGTTCAATGTAATCCTGCAGGGGATGGGAGGAGAGAGGGAAGGAATGCATCAGAGAGGGTTTGATGGGGGATGCTTCAAGTGACAGACAGGCTGAGAAGACAGGGTCACATCTGGAAGAAAACGTCACACCACATCACATTCTAACTTCCTTGTACCCAAAAGCTCTAGCCTCCAAGGCAAGGGTGCTGTGTGTCCTTCTGAGGGCTCGTAAGGCTGCACCCCCAGCAGAGCCTGCCCTGTGTTCAGGGTGAGCACAGCTCTGCTACTAACAGGGTTTGCCCTCTGCCAGCAAGAGCCAGGCTCAACAGGTAAAAGCTCTTTTGCCAGGCACTGTGGAAGAGGAGTGAAGTTGCCTGCACTCAGCAGGGCCAGCAGCTCCTGTCACATCAGTGATTCCAGGCTGGTGTCAAAGGGCCTGACCCCTTATTAATGATCCCAACAAAAACACCTCCTGCCTTTGTGGTTACACAGAGAGTACATGAGTGTAACCAGACTCACAGTGACCTGCAAACATATATCTCTGGAAGCACAGGAGGAGAGACTAGGACGAGATCTAGGGAAGAGGGTGATGCTGGGAAGGCACCTCCTCTCTGGGCTTCCAAAAGCGCTGTCCAAGCCCCAGGCTGGGCTCACACCAGCCAGGTTGAGGGCAAACCCGTCTCTGGGTGGCAGGACACAGCTGCAGCTTTCCTTGGCTCACCCCTGCATGCTGGGATGGACGGCTCCCCAGTCCCATTCCTGCTGCTGGGAGAAGCAGCTGAGCAGGACAGATCCTGCCACTCGGTCCCCTGAGCTCTCACTCCAGCACCCAACACGGCTGCAGCCCCAGGGAGCCCTGCCAAGCTGCCAGCACCCGGGGTGCTGCTACAGCAGCTGCCTGCACTGGGCCACGCTGAGCTGTGCCTTCGGATGCTGGCAGGAAGGGGGCATCAGCGTGTCATCCCTTGGAGGAGACAGGCAGCAAACAGTGAGAAAGCGATTTGGCTTTCACTTCTTATTCCAAAGAGGGCCAAAGTCAGCAGGAACGCTGCTTAAGCTCAAAGGCATCCAGGCATGACGGAGAAGCTGGGATGGTGGGATGCTGCAAACTCCTCTCCTTCCAGCCCCTCTCCTCCCTGGCCCCCTCACTGCCCCAAAGAGCTGAGCAGCAAAGCTGGAGGGAGTGAGGGACCAGCACAGGGGCTGTGAGAACTTCTGGCAAAGGAGCTTCAAGCCAAAGCAAGGACTATGTAAATCGCTGCTTAGTGCTGGCAGGGAGGAAGCAGGGACAAGGAGTAAGTCCTGTCTGATCACACAGCCTGGGTGAGGTGACCCTCAGAAGAGCTGGCACCACCCTGCTCCAGTGCCAGCACAGCCAGAGAGCTCAGCAGTCCAGGTCCAAGGAGTGACTGATGTGCTTGTGTCTCCCACTGCTGGCCCCCGCTGGCCAAGGCCACAGGAGAGTCTATTAGGAGAGCACTTGCTTGACCTTCTCTAACCCCAGCAGCAATTGCTTTCAGCCCTGCCTTGAGAGGCTGGGTCTGGTTGGTATTTTACCCCTTTTTTTTCCCCTTTAACCCTCTCCTGGGCCACCTGACACAGGGCAGGGGCCGATCACTTGTGCTACTCACCGTGCTGGGCACAACCACGGGCTCACCAGGCAGAGGGCTGTCTGCCCTGGCAGTGCTGGGGTCTAGCACCTTGTAGGTGAATCCAAACACCCCGGTGTTCTGCAGGGTGACTTCTGCTTGGATGACTTCATTAAACAGCTGGAGAGAGGACAGAGGAGTGGGAAGTTACAGATACCAGTGTGCTGCTGGGAATCTCCTTCCTCTTTCATGGGGTTGGAAGCAAACAGCCACAACACAAGAGCAGGGACTGGGGAGGAGATACAGGCACTTGACCATCCCAGGTCAGCCTGGGTCAGGCACAGGACACCTCCTAGCCCTGCACAGGAGCAGGGAGTTCTGGCAGCACGCAGAGATGTGGTAATAACCATGTAAGGGCCAGTAATAAATGAACCAGGGCCCTCTTTACTCTGAGGGGTCACCAAACAGCCTGGTGAAACAATGGAGGTGGCATTGAGGCATTCCAGAGGAAAAGGCACCTGCATGCAAGTATTGGCAAGCAAATACATTGACAGGAAAAAAGGGAGACGCACAGGGGCAACACAGACAGGGCCAGCAGCTGGAAATATCTGTGGGCTTTTAACTGAAAAGAAGTAAAGTGAGGATTATTCTGGGACGTTCTCTCCAGCTACAGTGACTGGAAGCCCAACTTCCTCCCTGGATTATTTTGTAGATTGAGCAAGAGCATTAGAGGAGAGCATCCCCTTGGAGCTCAGGCTTTAGAAGCAGTTCAGGGGAGGGATGTCTCAGGGATATGTCCCTCTGGACATCCCCACTGGGATCCTGCCTGCCTCAGGAGGCAGTGTTAGGTCCCTCGAAGAGGAGGAATTCCCAGCATTGGTGGTGGGTGAGTGCATGTGAGGTGGAGGTGGCCATTAACAACCAGCTTGGATGATGGATGTATCCCTCAAAGGCTGTCCTTTCCAGGGCCCAGAGCCAACAAAGGAGCTGGGAAGGGGAGGGAGCCCTGGGCTGAGGTGGGCAGCAACCCACTGGTGATGGTTCCAAGGCAGCAGCTCTGCCAGGAGAAGGGGGTGGTACCTGCAGCCCAAAGTCGATGTCGTAGGTGTCCAGGTGGTAGCTGAGGTCCGAAGTCCCCCCACTCAGCTCCACCTCGTAGGTGGGGCCTCCCTCCACGTGGCACAGCGCCGTGACACGGGCGATGATGTTGGGGTGGCCAAAGAAGGTGAAGAGCACGTGCTGGCTCTTGCCCGGCTGCAGCACACCGGACACCGGCTGGACATCAAAAACCTGCAGGAGGGGAGGAGGGATCAAGATGCTGAGCATGGAAATGGGTGCAGAAGAGTAGCCGTGGATTGGAGTGAAGTACAGAGGTAAATGGAGGGGCCTCTTTCTCAAAGACAGCCGGAATCATCCTAATCTCATCCCACATCCGTGCCACTGACCAGTGGAGGGACCACAGGGGAAATCTTCCATACTCGCTGATCAATGCATTAATTAATACACGACATTAAAGTAAATTAGGATGTCTCCTGGCAGCAAGATATTCTCTCCACTGCAGAACTTGCCTTTGAAAACAATTCTAGTACCTCCAGAAATACAGGAGAGTTGGAGGTGAAAGCCCTTGGAGTTGGGGGGAGGACTCCAGCTCAGCTCATCTGACTCCTGAGGCTTTTCCCTCTCTCTCTGGTTTACATGCTGCTCCCTCAAGGTGCTACAGCAAAAGCTCCTGCAAAAATTTCCAGTCAACCACCTTATGAGGTACAAGGGGAGCAATGCCCTCCCCAGGTGCTGCACAGGGAGCATCCTTGGGCAGCCCTACAACATGTCCCACGTGGCCTCTCCAGCGACTACTTGCTTCAGCAGCATTTTGTGATGGGCTTGGAAGGACTGAGGCCCCTCTGTGGGCAATGCCAGTGGGAGTGGGGGCTACAGAACTGCTTTCCACACTGGAAAGATGGAAGTGAGACAGATCCCCACTTACCTCTTCCATTCTCAAGGCAAGGTTCTCCACCCCCGTGAATCGCCTCAACCCCTTCATGGTCTCCAGGCTCAGAGGCTCCACAGCAGTGCAGGGCAGCACCTGGAAAAAAAGCACCACGGGCTGCAGTGAGCACTGTCTGAGCAAGATCACTCTGCTGCAGGCTCCACCACCCCACCACACCAGGAGCAGCTGAGATGGGACCTGGGCACAGATCCAGTGTGGGTATGTCCATGCTATCAGTGGAGTGCTGGTCCAAGCCCACCCACAGATGAGACACAGGCTCTGTCTGCATGTCCTACATGCAAGTGTGCACGAGGGAACTGGATACCCCCAGCACTCAGGCAGAGGGGACTGGAACTATAGGATCTTTGAAGGTCCCTTCCCAGCAAAACCAAGGGCCCTTCCAAGCCAAACCATTCCAGGATTCTAGGACAGCTGCTTGAATTTCCCTGGTTTAATTGTGCATGCATGGGCAACAACCAGGAAATAAAGATGATTTCATGCTTCTGTCTGAGAACATTCAGCCACACTATTCTTTGTGTCTAGTGGGTATCATTTCTCCTGATTCAGAAAAAACATGCAGAGTTGAAATGACCAATACTGGGATGTGAGCAGGTACAACTCCTCTCCTTGAACTTAAGGCCAACACTGGTGCTTTCAGAAACTCCCGTGCTTCCTTACACCCTTTTTTACTGCCCCATGAGCAGCCATGGGGCCAGTTCCCACTCCAAAGCACCAAGATTCACCAGGCAGGTCAGCAGACCAAAGGCCATTTTCCATGCTAGGAGGAAGAGAAGTTCTGCCTTAAAAAAGACAGCTCTGGAGCCATCACTGCAATACTGGCTCTTGGGTGAAGGCAGGGATTTGAAAATGGTGGCTCTAGCTGGGCTGGAAAGAGGGAAATGGAGGTCAGGACTCAACACAGCTTGGTACAGGAAGGAAACCAAAAGCCTTCTCATCATGATGCAAATAAAAACCTCATTTTACATTGTAAAGAAAATAAGCCAAAAAAAAAAAAATAAATCCCAAACTCAGGATAGATCTGTAGGATCTGAGTGGGTTTCTCCGGGCAAAACTATCCTGTTTGTCCCTCCCCAGATGCCCCACTTCCAGCCACTGGCCCTGCTGCTCAGCCCACTCTCAGGGCACACGACAGCAGGACAGCAAAAAGGGAGGTTGGCATGAGCAGAGCTTTACAGGGGCAAGTTTGGGAGCAACACAAGCAGTAGGTGCACAAGATAATCTACCTTTGCTACCAGGGATTCCTCTGAACCTGCTGGCTGTTGGGCAGGATCCTGCACTGCTCCCAGAACATCCTCTGAACTTGCTGACTGTTGGGCAGGATCCTGCTCTGCTCCCAAAGAGTCCTCTGAACCTGCTGGCTGTTGGGCAGGATCCTGCTCTGCTCCCAAAGAGTCCTCTGAACCTGCTGGCTCTGGGGCAGGATCCTGCACTGCTCCCAAAGAGTCCTCTGAACATGCTGGCTGTGGGGCAGGATCCTGCACTGCTTCAAGGCCTTTAGTTGGCTCCTCCACACTTTCAGCACTGAACTGCCTCCTTGACAACAGTGAGTACTTCAAAGAGTCTCTCTCCTTCTTTGGTGGTTTAGGTTTGAATTTAGGTGGTGAAGGGTTGAACCTGGAAAATAACATGTCAACTCCCAAGAGGTTGTCTCCTCTGAGCCAGGTCCCAGTTCCCCAAACAAAACTGTGTCTGTGTGAGCTCTATTCTTTGCAACTGCAGCACTTCAATGCCCAGTGGTTAACTGGGCTCAGTTTCCTGGGGCGTTATGGAAGAACCGTTTGCTTCTCTAATAAAAACTGCCCAGACCAGACTTCTGCACTCTGCACAGGTCAGAGCAGGAGGAACTGCCAGAAATGTGTTTACAGATGTGCCCCAGCACTACTGCAGGATTGCACTTGGGCTTGGAAAGCCCAGCCCAGCCCTGGATGGCCCTGCTTCCCAGGGATGTTCAGACAAGTGCTCCCACCAACAGCTACAGCCACCCCTAGAGCCCCAGCAGAACCTGCTGATCACTGTCAAACACCAAAGAGCTGGTTTGTGAAGGTGATGTGTGGTTTAACAGCTGAAAACTCCCTTCACCAAGGTGGTCTTTGCCTCAGGCCACAGAGGTCTGAGAAAGCAGCTTTCCCCATCAGCTTTCCTTCCCAGGGGAAACCTATATGGGAGCTATAGCAAAGTAGCAGGAAGAGACTGGGACAGCAGCACTGCACTCTGGTGGCAGCACCTGTGTAGGTTCTTTGTAGGAAAGAACAACAAATCGGGTTGGCAGGGAAGGAAAAGAGGTCACATTACAGATCTGCTTGTCCAAGTGCCTAAGCATGGCTTTGTAGCTCCAGAGGTAAAGCAGGAGTCCAAGTTACTGCTATGCAAAAAGGGTTGGGAGTGTCTTACAGTCCCAGTTTGGCTGGAGGACATTGTCTCCAGCCCAGTGTCCAGTTGGTGGAGAACACCTATTCCCTGAGCATCCAGCCTGACCACGGCTGGTTGTTGTTATTTCCACAAGGAAATCTCAAAAGCACTTTGTCAGATCCCAGGCAAACATCCTCGGTCCTTGCAAAGCACAAACAGGACCCCAGGAAGAAGAGCTCCAAGCAAAGGGGCACCTACCTTATGGTGTTCACCTGGAAGGACCAGTGGTAGTGGACAGGGATTGGGCTGCAATTGGTCATTGCCACACAATCCACTTGTTCAGTGCCATTTATGAGGTAGCCAAAGTCCAGGGCCTTGGGCAGGATATGGAGGTTTGGGAAGTAGACTTCTCCCCGAATGGTGATCTGCTCCTCATGGGGATGCTCCATGAACTCCATGTTCAGTGTCTTCTCTGCTACCCAGCTATTCAAATCCTTTTCATAAGCCGGGTTAAATTGGATGTGGAGATGAATTTCCTCCCCTTTGTCTAGTTTTATGGGCTGCAAGGAGAGGAAGAGTATTAATCACCTGTGTGATGAAGTCCCAAGGTCTGACAGCATGAAACATTAAAGGTTTGAAGTGTGACCCCAGCGTGGCCTTCCCAGTTCACCCTTCATTTCTTTATGGTGAAGGTCTGACTGTGAGCATCACAGTCTTGTCCAAGATTCTCTCAGGCTCATGTTTCTGTGCTTGGCAGCAATACAAGGGGATGGCTGCTGGAGAGCTGGGATGCTTTCCAGGAGACTGGATGGCTTGCCCAGACCTAGTTGTCTGCTCCCTGTGTCTTACAGCCAGGATGGGTCTTCCCAATTCAGGTGAGATTTTGCTTCCTTCAGCAGCTCTGCTGATTCAGTTCAGGCCAGTCCACTGCTGACTCGACAGAAAGAACTTCTCAACTCGAGGACCTCCCAACAGAAGGGCACCACCACACCCCTCCCTCTTCAAACCCCACCAGCAGGAAGGTCCCTGGCTGTTCACCTGAGCATCTTTGGGGAGGGGATGCTGGTCCACATCACAGATTAGGAATGGCTTCTTCAAGTCCAGCACAATGCTGAGTGGCAGGCAGCAGTTGTTTTTTAAAGACAGAGGCTTGTATAGGAGAGTCAGGACATCACTGGGCCGCTAGAGAAACAAGAGACAAGGAAAAACAACCTCAAGTGGCCATGGACCTCCTTCCCCTTCCAATGCATTTCACATTTTTCAACCCCAGAAGTGCATACATCTCTATTTACTCTTTCTAATAGTTTCTAGCCCTTCCAGCTGATTCAACAGCCATGCCATTAAATGCCATGAAAGGATGCAATCCAGAGACTTACCTTCTCCACACGGAACACGATTTCTCTGGAGGATATTTGCACGAGGGGAAAAACGAACTCGCAGTTGACATCCACTTGCATTATCTGCTTCTTTCTCTTCTCCCTCCCCACCATGGCGTGACACAGCAGCCGCTCCTTCACCTTCTGCATGTGAGAGTCACTGTCACCAGTGGCTGCTGGCTCACCACCCACGGGCCCATTTCCTGCCACAGTCACTGCTCTCCTCAAAAGCCCCTTTCTTTTCTGTGCTGCAGCCTATTTATTTATTTATTCTGCACTCAAACATCTGTAACACTGCACCCCAATAGCCACAAAAGGCGCTCATGAGTCATGTGCTGCCTACAACTGTAATAATCCTGGCCCCAAATGATTTTGACTTTGATTTGTGCCACTGCTGAGCATAGTGCTTACAGAAAGCGGGAAAGTAGGAACTGATTTTAAAAAAATAAATAACTGTATTAAGGAAACAGGTGACAGAAGGGCTAATCAGTAGGAGCTTCATGCAGATTTCTTCCATATTCACTTAAATATTGTGCCCAGGGGTCCTGGAGCCAGGGAATGCACACCAGGGTTAGCTGGCAGCTTCTCTGCAGAGTTGTACTTCCCCTGGAAAGAAAGGTCCAGGGAGAAGAACACCCCAAGGCCCTGCTAAAATCTCCCCCTCTGAGCTGCTTTCCAAGGGTGCTGCAAGACCTGGCTGCCCTTGGGACACCAGGGCTGGCTGAGAGACTGGGGAGCAGTTATGGAAATATTGACAAAAGTCAAGCTGCCAATTATAATGATCTCTGGGAACAGTTTCCCACATGGATGGACATCACACTGATCATTAGAGCTGACACAGTGTTGGTTTTCCTCCTCCAGGACTCAGGGTTAGACCAGCCCTCTGCCCACGTTTGTCTGCAGAGGACAAGCGATGCTGCTCCCAGACACTCCCTCCCTTCACAGGACTTTTGTTTTACTCCCTGCTTTCCCCAGATAAAGCACTTGACACTTGTTTCATTTGCTTTCTGCCTGGGCTCTCAGTCCAAGTGTAACTTTTTTTCTCTACCCTTTCTTTCTGCCTCAGCACACGACACTGGTAACCTCCTGTTTGCCCTGAAGGACCAATATTTCCTTCAGCCTGTATTTTGGGATCAGCACTGGGTTTTGGTAGCTATGGAAACACAAAAAAGCCTTAGCAACTGATGGTGGCCAGCAAGGAAAGCAACTGGTGCTGCCATGGAAACTTGTGGCCTCAAAACGGTTTCTTGAAGGCACTTGCTCCTTCTCCCAGGCAAATGTCAAGGGGCTGCAGGAGAAGCCCCAGTGGAGGGGATCTGATGGGAAAGGCTCAGCCCTTGGTGGGACCTCACCTGGGGGGTGCTGGAGAAGCCTTCCAGCACCATGTCCTTGGTCTGGCCCGGCACCAGCTCCATCTGCGGCGGCTGCAGCTTGAACACGGGGCTGGCAGGTTTGGGGACCTGGGAAGTGCTTTTGTCCTTGGTGGTACCGGGGGCACGACGCTGCTGAACGATGCTGAACCCTTCTGTGGTCCAGAACAGCTGATGGGTGTGTCGCCCTTTGTTTGTTATTTTGAACTGGTAACAGCAGGGAGTGAGGCTGGAAGAGAAGCAGAGAAAATGTCACGAAATGACATTGAAATGTCATGGCTAGAAGAGAAGCAGAGGAAATGTCATGGGAGCTGCTGTTTCCCTGCAGTCACCCACCTTCAGCACCCTGATGGAGTTCCCTGAGTGCACACTCAGCAACAAAACCTCCACCAAAAGGCCACCTGAGCTCAAGGCTTCAGCCACAGCCAGGCCTTGGCTGCCCCTAAGTTCATCACCACCCAGCAGCTGTTTTCCATCTCAGTGGCTTTTGAGGGTTTTTAATGGCTCCCAAATAGCCATCAAATGTTTCTAAAGGAATCCCTGTGGCTTCAGGGAAACAGAGCTGGGACCTACTGAAAAAGACCTAGCCTGAAGGACTCCAGCAAAACTGCTCCTTGCTGAGCCCATGGGAGAAGCGGGAGCTGAGAGAGATCCTACCTGAAGTGGGGCTTAAAGTTGAGCTCCGGAGAGAAAGGTTTGTCAGTGACAATTGTGGTGCCAATGCCCACAGCCTGCACAGGGATGATGTTCACTTCACTGTTCTCAATGAACAGCTTCACCTTGTCCTCAAATTTCCCCGTGTCATCGAGGTTTGCTGTGACAGTCAGAGACACCTCGCTCTCGGGGGGGATCACTCCCTTACTGGGTTCAATCCTCCAGTGTGAGCTCGTGCCAGCCTGTAAGACAAACCAAGCACGGACTTGGGATGGAAACCATGGACCCTGGACTGCTGTGGGGTGCAGGAAATGGAAGGACTAAAGAGAGGAGGGTAAAAACCATAAAGGTTTAATTTACTTAAATCTAAGTGTCTGGCAACAGCAACTCTCCAAGAGCTTATACAACCTGTATTTTACCCTCCTTTAACAGATTCACTTCATTAACCCAGTTTTTCTCAACTCAAGGGATGTTCCTCCTCAGGAGAAGGTTATTCCTCCTCCAGTCTCTCTTTGGAGTCCATGCCAAGGGAAGCTACTTTCCTGGCTTCCTGACAACAGAGCTGGGTTGGCACAGAGGCTCAAGGCCAGAGGAAGCCAGGACTGCTCCAATCCCACCACAGCAGCCACACAGCTGGAGGATATTGCTGAGAGCCCAAAGGATAACTCTGCAAAACCAGCTGAACAAAACCCCAACACTAAAGTCTTCTTTCCCAGGAGGTTCTCAGTGCTTCTCAACAGCCCCTGAAGGACTGAAGCCCATTTTTCCCATTGATCATCGGCTGCAGGGAGGTGTCACAGTGCCCTCTGCTTTGGAAAAGTCGGCTCTGCATGGCTATAGCAGGGCAGGAAAGCAGTAAGCAGAAAGAAAACTGCAGTGTATGTGTGTATTTCACTGAGGGTTGTCCCAGATAAAACCACCCCCAGAGCCAGGTTCCTCTTGCTGCACTCAGATGGAAAGAGGCACAGAGAGGCATGGAAACACTGAATATAAAAAACAAGTCATGGGCTGCTACTGAGCAGTCATTTTCATTGGAAAACAGCCCCAGAGATACTTACCATCTCTGCCCAGAAGACTGCAGGGATGATGCTCTGATTGGAGAGGTGGAGAGTTTCGGAAATATCTTCTACGACCGGGATAGTGCCCAGGTTTATCTCAGTTGGATATACATAGACAACTGGTCCCTGTCCAATGCTCTCTAAATGGATTTTCTGGTCCAGGAAGAAGGCAGGAAAGATCAAAAACAAGGACACATCAGGGAAAGTTTGAAAAGCTTAGGCAGCTCTAAGGGCACTCCTAGGCTGGGGATAATTCTGGCTGTTTGAAGTTTTCAGTGCTGTAGACTGAAACAGAAGGCCTGGAGCAAGCGTGGGATATGCAGTGATCCCATCTGAAAGCCACAAGTTCCCATTATCAGGAAACAGAGAAATGCTGTTTCCCATTCTTGCTTCTTTACACCTCCTCCACACTATCTCTCCTTCCTCTACCTCCTGCCTGCTTCCACTCCTTTCACTGCTCCATCTTGCCCCAAACCACCCTCCCAGCAGAATGTGAGACCCACAGATTGGTCTGGGGTTCAGACTGGGCTTGTTATCCCGTTTCCCACTATATGTTGGGTCAGGCACTGAGATTACCACCTACAAGGATTCTATACTTCCTCTTTTCTAGGCATAAGATGCTGCCTATGACGCCAATCCCTTCTTTCCTGTCCACACCAGCCATATATCACAAGCTCCTGTTTTCCCTGGAAGAATCCCTGTACATTTTACACTCCATCAGGATGAGTCACACACAGGCTCACATCTCTCCTCACACTCACCAGTGGGGAATCTTCACTCCCAAACACGACGACATCAGCAATGGTGTCATGCTCTCCCAGCAGTTTCGTTTTAAGTATAAATGGGATCTCCACTAAGCTGTGAGCCTTGATAGTCCCACATGGCTGAGGGGCGAAGTACCACACAGCATCCTCTTCCTTGTGTTCCTAGAAGGGACAGAACCAAACACAACTTCAGAGGGAGGAAACTTTAAACTCCTTGACATCTACCACGACGGCAACTGACACACACTTTTAAAAATCCCCAGGAGAAAGCAGAAAGGCACAGAACAAGATGAAGGACTTGTAGGGGCTTAGCATCCTCAGGGGGTCCAAAAGCTGCTGCATCCACAGACACCCACTCCTGTGCTGGCAGCCCCCTTGCAGCAGCTTTTCACAACCCTCTAAACTCTCCTACATTAAAACACCTCAAAGACTAGAATGTAAACTGCTTCCCTAAGAAGTTAAACAGCTTCCTGAAGTTTGTATTCAGGCAGGTTCCTGTTCTAAGCAAACCTTTAGGTTTGAATAGAAACCGGCAAGGTCTTACGCAAACCCCTTTTTTCCCCTCATAAACAACTGGATAACATTTGAGAGGAGGAGGTGGATGTGATGCCCAACCTGAGGAAGAACCCTGTAGCAGCCAGGAAAGTCGCTGTCATTCACAAGCCTCAACATCTTCTGGTAAGGGATGTTCAGGTAGCACCGTCCAAATGTCATGATGGGGTTGAGCGCTCGCAGGGCAGGAACGACACATCTGGGCAAAGAGATGACCCCGAGGAATTAGAGACACTGAAAGGATAGAGAACTTGTACCCCTGAAGAACATGAAATGGAGCACAACACATTTGTCACGTCAAAGGGACATTTAATACTCCTACAGTGATAAATCACCTCTAACTTCCTTTCACTCGAACACCTCTTGTCAAGGAGGGGCAAACCCCGAGACTCAGCACTGCAGAGGCTTCCAAGTGCCCAGGCAGAGCATGTGCCCTGTTCCAGAGCTGTCTCAGCAGCTTTGCCCTTTCTTTGCCCAAGGAGGCTTGCAAGGACTCCTGCAAGTGTCAGTGAGCCATAACCTCTGGGGGAGCTTCCCACTGAGGACTAGGGCTCATGAAGGCTCAAGGAACACAAGACTACAGAGTCTCAGTAAAAATTAGTCCCTCCCCTCCCACAGCACTGTTGCCCTGCCTGAAAACTCAGCCATTTGCTCCAGCAGTGGAGGGCACAAGCCCTACAGAGTGGATTATAACCCTCTCCCAGTTCCTACAGCTCTCTTGGTCCTTCACCCCACAGGTTTATACACTGACTGTCCCTGTTTGCACTTGCTTTACAAAACTGCAGCCCAGGCACTGACTGGATGGCTCTGCCTGGGAGAGGGAACAGCACCAGGAACTGCATCCCTCTTGTCATTCAACTGGCACCCATGGCAGCACAACAGGAGAGAATTCGGCTGCAGCAAGAACGACTTTTGGCCTCAACTCTGAGAACATTAATGCTCAAAAGAGCCAGAGGGAAGCAGCAAAACCTGAGCTCACCTGCCACATCAAGGACTATATTCCCCTTCATAAGATCTTGCCTTTCTTTTGCCCTCACCACTCCTGCCATGAGCCCCTTTCCCACTAGTACGTGTTGGTTAATTGAGCCAGACTCCAGCTCTCAGCAGGCTGCTCACTATGTCCCAAAGCAATGGTCACCACCCAGCACAAGTCCATCTCTTGCAGGAAGGAGGACAGGCAGCCCTTGGGAAATTTGTTACACCTCAAGCACCGAAAACCAGGCAAATAATTAATGTCCTTCCTGTTCTACTTAGAAAAAGGCCCAGAGCTGTGTCTGGCTGTGAGCAGGGGTGCTTCTCACCATGGGCTTTCCAAGTGCTTTCCAAGCACTTCTTTTCTTATGTCAAGCTAGGCAGAACCACCTCATTAAGCAACCCTCCTCCTTTGGAGCTGCAGCCAGCAAACCCCTGTGCAAGGCAGGGTGCTGGTGGTGGGTGCACGAGGAAAGACGAGCAGCTGCAAGGAGAGTGCTGGTACCTGGCTGTGATGGGCAGTGCTGACACCTTCTTGCCAACACCAACCACGTCCACCACCAGCTCCATCTGATATGGCCCCACAGTGTTGGAACACAAGGTGACCTGGTGGAAAGGAAGAGCAGCAAATACTTCCTCACTCCCAAAGGTTCATCATATGTGTCCTCCAGTTCTTGTTCCATGGCAACGAAAAGAAGGATTTTGCCTTAATTCTTCTGCTGGTCCATGTGTAGAGTGCAATCTCTGGGAGCAACAAAAGCCTTCTGGCAAGATTGGATTTATTAAACATATCTTGAAGTTATCAGGGCATAGGTAAGCTAAATTAAAGCACCATCAGACTGATGCTCTACTCACCACTTTATTCAAATTAAGGGATCAATTTTTCACCTGACTACAATGACATAAATGCAGAGGAAATCTGTTGAACAAAATGAACAGCATGTGCCCAGTTCCAGAGCTGTGTCAGCTTTACAGCAGGAAGCTGAGGGCAAAGTGTGGCCCAGCAGGTGCTGGGCAGTTCATGGCTGCAGAGTGTTTTCTGTCCCCACTGGAGATCCCCACAGGGAATACAACTCATTCTGCTCCCTGGGAGAGGAGAAATGAGACAGGGAAGAAAAGCAAACTGATTTATACAATGACATCCCTCCCTCTAACAGCCACCTTCTGTCCTCATCCTTCCTCTGCTGCTTTCCATCAGAGAAATTCCTCTCAAAAACACACGAATGGCTTCTGTACTTGACCATATGGTACATGATTTCAGCTTATGATTTTGGAAACAAAACTGTGCTCCTTCAGGAACATCCCGAGCAACCCAGCTAAAAGAGGCCTCACACCAGTGCAGATCTCTTACTCACACCATACTCAAAGCTGGCAGTGCCAAAGCCCTCCCACACATCAGTGAAGCTTCAGCCCCACCTGCTGAAGTGTGTGTGGCTGGACTCTTCCCATACCTGGATATCCTGGAATGCCTGGGAGCAGATGGTCCCTCTGCAGGGCGTTATGGTAAATTCCATTGGCCTCGTGAGACCCTGAGCTCCCTTTCTCCAGGATGGGTGAGTGTTCCTGGATGTCTGGTCCGAGCTGGTGAGGCTGGGCTCTCCAGAGCCATCCCCAGGAATGTGGAGGGTGAAGGCCATGGGCATCAGGGAGGTGTTGGTCAGGCGGCAGGACAAGGTGCGAGGAAAGCCTGGAAAATGACACAATATGGGCACCAATCATCTCCTGATTCCGGGTGTGAATGTCCCAGTAGGATAAAACTGTGCTTGGAGTTTGGCTTTCTATTCCTTTGGTCCTACTTGACCTCATGATGGCAAAATGCTGCCTGAGCCACCAGCAGCCCTGGAGTCAGCACCCTTAAGGCTGCTGTGGAGGAACACAAGTGACAGATCCTCTGAGGCTCAAGTGCTCCATTTCAGCAACACACAGACCTCTCACACTGTGGTCCAAACCCTGGGCACACTCACCAAAGGAGACGTCACCGAAGTGGAGGGCGCGTACATTGAAATGGAAAGTCGGTCCGATGACATAGCCCCTGTGAGGACAAAGGCAGAGGAGGCAACAGCTGGGGTAAAGGGAGTTGCAAAGTATTCAGCTCTCATGACCCCTTGAATGGCCAGAGCCACCATGGGTTTCAAATCAACTCACCACCCTGTGCTCAGCACAACATCTGCGTGGACAGGAGGCAGCCAAAGCAAAGTGGGCAGCAGCCAACAGGCTATCTGGGACAAGCCCTCATGCTGCTGTGGTTCTGAGAAGTGAGCTTTGCTTTTCCCATCACAATTTTTTTTCTTCTTTCCCCACCTCTCCCCTCTGCTTGATGAGGATTATCTTTTGCAGTGGCACCAGCCCATAGGATGGTGCCCAAGCCCTTGTGACAGTCCCTGCTGCAGAGCTCCCCAGAATCACCTGGGCTGGCCCATCTCCAAAGCCCTGGGGGCCTTGCTGGGTGTTCAGGTGGGACATCCCAGACCAGCTACTGCCCAAAGCTAATGCCATCCCATTGCCTGCCACAGCCTAAGGGGGAGAGACATCCCTGCAGGAAGGAGTCACTCCAGCTCCTGGTACCTGCACTGGGCAGAAGGCATCCCCACACCAAGGGGCTGCCAGCATCAGAGCCAAGACTGAGACCTCAGGCAACACCTTTGTTCTCTGCTCCACCACCAAATGAGGCAGGTGGGAGATGATTACCCAGAGACAGCTACAGATGTGCCCACCAAGCTCCCAGAGCCTTCCTCACCTGATAGTGAAGGTCAAAGGCTTGGGGGCTTGAGGGACACTGAACTGGAATTCTTCCTTGAATTCCCCTGGGATGGTGGTTCGGAAGGAGATGTTGATGGCTTGGAGCCCATCTGGTAGAATGATGCCCTGCTGGGGCAGAAAGGTGAAGCAGGAGCCCACGGCTGTAGTTGGAGGGAGGAGGCTGAAGAGACCCTCAATAGGCCCTTTGTTAACCAGGACTGCCTGCAGCAGCAAGAAAGCAAGGTGGAAATACATGAGCAATCTCCTTCCTTACAGAAGGCAGAGTTGTTTTTAAATTAAACAATTAACACCTGTAAAAGGCAGAAGATGCTCTGTGCTGCTGCATGGCAGGAGCAAAAAAAAATAAATTATAAATTTGAAATACAACTTTGTATGCCTTTGGGATTTTCATGCAAAGCAACAATAACTTCACACAACCAGATACACCCCTCAGAACCCATCAAAAGGATCCAGATTCTGTGAAACGCCCCAAATTTGACTAATATCACAACTGCCTGAGTTGCCAGAAATTCTGCAGGTCCACCAGGCTCACTTCTACCCCAGGAGCCATCAGGATCCACCCCAACCCCTGCTGCTCACCTTGTATCTGTGGAGTGATATGACAGAAACCTTCCCAATGTCCAGTTCCTCGAACAGGAAGCGGAGCCGGGGCCCAAGGCCTTCCCCTATGAGGCGCAGGGGCAGCCTGGTCTCATGGCCTGGGGAGAGATTTCTCTTTCAGAACAATAATTCCCTATATTATCCTGCATTTTCCAGGCTGCCTCAGTGCTATTCCCTGACTCTGAGCTGGATAGAACCAGGTCTTGATTCTCCCAGAAAAGACATGGCCCCTTCTCTTCCCTCAGGAGATATGACATGTCCATGGAAACCATCCTTTCTTCTGCCCCTCTGTTGATACTGGAACTTTAGGAGATGCCAGAAATTTTGTTCTTCCTCCTTCCAGGTTTGTTTCCTTATTTCAATTCTATTTTCCCCCAAGGGACCTTAACTCTGGGCTGATTCCTACCTTGACAATCCAAGGGATCAGCTCCGGTCTCAAAGGGATGGATGTGTGTGTGGATATGTCTGCATCACTTAAATGACCTCCCTGAGATCCTCCTTCAAGGGGCCAGTGGAAGAGTTAAGCTTCCATTGGGCCCATCAGGTCGTTCAGGAGCAGGCTCTTGTTTCTCAACACACATCATTTTGTTCCTCCAACTCCCAGACCAGCTCAAGGCTTGCATTTCACTAGTCCCTGCACTGCTTGGATTGTTCTGGAATCAGTGATCCAGAGCCAGGCATCCCTGGCCTTGCACAGGAGACCCCCCGGAAGCCACAGGGACAGTGGGCACGTGCCAGCACTGCCCTGCTGACCATAGAGCCTTCCCAGCAATGACACAGGGGCCCAGTGGGGTGGAGGAGCATTTGCACCTCGCCCTCAGCGTGGGTGAGAGGGGCAGGAGGGGGGAGCCGTACCCGAGATGTCGCAGTAGACGGCGCGTTCGTAGACTCGGGCTTCTCGGGGTCTAAAGGTCACGCTGATTTCAGCTGAAAAATTTGGCCAGATCTCTCCCTCCTAAAGCAGAAGGAGACAACAAAACTTTCGTCTTCAAACATCACATTTCTGGTTTTCAGTCGCAGCCCTGTAAGCCTTTATCTAGAGAGCATCAGTGATGAGCAAGGAGCGAGCAACACTTATCAATAACATTGATAAAACAGACTGGAAGACTTAGGCAGGTCCCTGCAGCCTGCCAGGAGCCTGCAGGGCAGAAATGCTTTGTGCAACAAGCTCTCCAGCCTCACAAGAAAGCCAGTGTCTTCCCTCTCAGCACATCAAGCCAGCTGAGGTGGGAATCTGCCAAGTGACCTCATGTAAGGGAGGAGGAGAAGGAAGAGGAAGGGAGGTTCTCAGCTATCAACTATCTCAGATATCACTTACCACCGGTTTAATAGTGAAAATGTCATCAAAGAACAGCATGGGATCTCCTTGCACCTTTGCCCTCTCGTTCTGGTAGATGTGGGAGAGCAGGGAAAGGCGTTCTCCACGAGTGGTGTCCGCTCTGCTCCACTCCAGAAAATTATCTGCCTGGGCATTTTCCTCCTGGCACAGCCTGTGGCAGAACCTGCAGCCATGGGGAGAGACAAACCCAGCAGATCATTTAACAGGCCACATATTTGCAGAGATAAGTGTAAGTGCAGCAGCAAAGCACTTGGGGAGGAGCAGCAGCAGCTCCTCAGCCAGGGGCTGACCCTGAGCTGTGGAGTTCCAGATGGATCAGAGGACCCCTTGTTGTTTGTTGGCACAGTAGGTGGTTTTACTCCACCCTTAAAAGCTCAGGAGAGATTTTGAAAGCCAGCAAAACCCTCAAGAGAGCCTCTTGGCTCAAAGCCACTGCCACAACTGAGGGAGAATCCACCAGCCACCTCAGCTGGCTTTTCCTACCACGGAGCTGCTCGGGGGAAGTAGATAAAGATCAAGATCAAGGAACACCTTGATCTTAAGGGGCTTCCCTGGGAAGGGAGGAAAAATCTGTGTTTCATCTGCAGGCTACCAGCATCACTCTTTGCTTCTTCCTTTTTGGACCTGTAGGGATAAGCAAACTCCAACTGCCCTGTTCCCTACACTGCCTTCCACCAGAGCATCCCAGAGCACTTTCAAAACAAATAAATTAATTCACATCACATCCCTTCAGTGACATTAAAGGTTTTGCATGCCTAAAACCAGAGGCCCTGAGAGGGGAAGGGACTTTGTTTTGCATCACCCAATAAACAAGTCAGGACCAGCATATGTTAGTTATATCCTCAGGCAGTGTATCTCCCTGAAATGCATCTCTCAAACCCACCTCTGCTTCAGCTGATCCTCCTCTTCCTGAGTAGCAAAAGCCTTCCACTGGAAGCGGGCCGTGACATTACTGTGGTTGAGGATGGTCACGGTGCTGTGGTTTGACAGTGTGATGTAAGTCTTCTCAACAGTCACAGAATTCCTGTCCAGTCTGATGTGGACATTCACAGCTGACCCATGAAGGCTTGTGTGGGTATCTTCACCTGGAACAAAGCAAAGAGGAGTCTTTGCTCAGCTCACTCACTGTTGGAAGCACAAGGAACAGAGCAAACCACAGGTGACAGAAGAAAAGGTCACAGCTTTTGGCTGTATGAGCAGTTCCAGGGATCAGGACATTTATCACATCCCAACTGCTGTGTGTGTACAGCGTGGGGATGTCCTGGACACCCTCTCAAGCACCTTATTTCTGGTGTGTTTGTGGAGATCTGTCCCCAAGGTGACAGTATTTAGAGTGAGATTAGTTAGATGTGGTGGGGTGACCCACTCAGGTCACAGGGAATTCTGCATCAGAGTCATTTAGGTGACTCTGAGGAGCCCCACTCAGTCATGGCTTGCCCAGGGTCTCCTGCAGGTATTCCAGGAGCTCCTGTCTCTCCTGATCCCTTGTTACTGACAAGCAACAATGCCTGGGGGCATGTGGGCAGAAAAGAGAGACCCAGAAGAACAAGTGAAGTGATGGCCCGTGGCAGGAGGGGACACAGGCAAGGACTTTGCTGTGTTGTGGCAGCAGTGCCCTCACTTGCTGTGGGCTTGTGATGAGGTGTCAAAACAAGACTGGTGGGGCACAGCCCACACCAACCTGCCCATTACAGTCCTGCAAGCCTGGATCCTGCTGCCTGCCCCTGAGCCTGCCAGTCCACACTGAGGATTCCCAAGCTATTCAACAACCAGAGCAAGGACATCTTTGCTTTCCACCCCAGGCAGAGCTGAAGAGGAGAGAGCCCCTGGCTGTGCACATCAACTGATGGAGGACTGGAAATTTGCTGGAGAACCTGCTGGCATTTCATCCTCTAGAATGGACCAAAGGCTCCCTCATTTCCAGAGCTTTCAAGCCTTCATTATTCCCAACCAAATACCTCCTGGGTACAAACTTCAGTACCAATCCCACCCTTCCTCTTGCAGGTGATTGTTTCCCAGGCGAGATGCAAACAGCAAACATCAGACATGCTCTATAGAAATGGCATTTCTATGGGGTGGTTCTTAATGCCTCAGTGCCAGCCCCAAATGCCAAGTGCAGCAACCCAGCCTTATCCTGGAGGGCATCTCTCTGCAAAGGCAGAACCTTCTCCTCAGTGCCCAGGGCACAGCAGGGCAGCCCAGCAGTGCCCAGCACTCACCTGTGTCATAGTGCACTACCAGGGATCCAGAATGATCCCCGGTCTGCAGAGGGTGAAATTCCACTGTCACTTGCAGGATGTCACCAATGCCAAGAGTTCCCATGGTCGGAGTGACAGAGAAGGGGCTGCAACACAGAGAGAGATCAGGACTCTTGGGGGAGAACTGGGGAAGATATTCCTTTTGCAGTCCACTTCAGCTCACTTGTGCAAGGAAGGAGCAAACCAACCACAGTCAGCAGAAGGCAGAACACACAGGATGAGAAACTGCTCCTGGCTCACTTCTGAGGAGATCCAGCCCTCAGGAGAGCCTGCTCTGGTTCCTTTTGTTACTCTATTACAATTCTGTTATCACCCACAGGTGTTTTGCACAAGGAAAGACGAGCTGCTTTACCTCTGGGTGCTGATTTGGTAACGGGCTTCCCTGTTACCAAGGTTGCGAACCATCAGAGTCTTCTCGGTGCTGTACTTGACCGGACAGACCGAGAAGTCCAGCTGGTCAGGGAAGTCCAGGACAGCTCGGGCACCAATGGCCCGAATTGGCACAATGAACTCTTCTCTTTCAGTGGTGCAGACGAGACAGTGGAAATAATCCTGCACAGAAAGAAACAGCCTCAGCACAGAGCATTCGTCCACATCTTCGCCACGGGCAAAGAGTACCCCGTAATTCTAGATCCAGTGCAGCTCCACTGAAACCAGCTGAGCTCCTCAACACCCAGGCCAGGTGCCCTGTCCTGAATCCAGCCCTGCAGGTTCACTTTCCACTGAAGGCGCTGACCTCTTGGGACCTCCAGACTCACCTTGTTCTCCCCAGGGGTGAAGACGACGCGTAAATTAGAACACATGCCCGGTGGCACCTTACGGTACGCACCACTGGGGCCAACCAGCTGGAAATAAGGTGAACTCTCCATCGTGACCTTCACCAGCCGAGGAACCTGCAGGAAAGACATGGAACAATGATTTTACCACTTGTGGAAACATGTAGAGAAGAGACCTGGCCGTGCCCTGGTGGTATCCTTCCTTAAACACCTTTCCAAAGCACTTTTAGCTCCGGAGGTGCATGCACATAATAAACAAGGGTGGACTTGGATCCCATCTGCCTGGGCAAAAGCAGCTCAGCCAGAGAGAGTAGGACAATTATTTTTTACTAAGACTGGTAGAAATGTTAATATAAATGTCCTTTTACATTGGAGGAAGCATGAGTAGAGCAAATTCACTGTTTGTCTGTTGGCTGGTACTTGGCAAAGACAAATAAAAGCTCTTTTGGGGTAGATACCACCAACACACAGCCAAAATCAAGAGAGGATCCCCAGCATGGGAAGATGTGGATCATCTTGCCAAACAGAGGTGCTGAGACATTTCATTCTGGATATGCTGCAGCAGGTAACTTGCTCTGCTTACACCACAGGAATTGCACCTCTCTCCTCTTCCAGCACACTGTCAAACCTCCACATCCCAGCACTCACCATGTCCCTGTTCCTCAGAACCAGTGGCATTTCACAGACCTCGTGTGGGACGTAGTTCTGAAATACCACCTCTGATGGGAAAACATGAAACAAGGTCTGGTCTGGGTCAACTGCTGAGACCTGGAGAGGCAAGAGAGAGCAGGGAGAGGTTCAGCTGCTGGGAGGAAGGTTCACGAATGAGGATCCTGCACTGACCCCCAGTGAAGTACAGACTGTCAGTGAGTACTGCCCTGCTCCCCCTGGGGAAACAGCAGCTCACCCACCTCTGCTCTGAGCTGATCAAAAGCTGCTGCACCACAATGAGCAGGCTCAAGCTGAGCAGCTCTTTTGACACTCTTTTCAAAAATACCACATCAAAGAGCAAGGAAAAGGGCAGGAAAAGGCACCTTGTGATTGGAGGTTTCACTCATATCTCGATGCTGGACAATCTGGGGCAGATTAATCTGTGGAATGCTGGCCAGCCTCTGCTTGGTGGTGAGAGACATCTGCTTCTGGAAGGCAGAGGGAGTCAGCTGAAAGGCAAAAAAACCCAACAAGAGCCTCAGAAATGCCCTTGTTCAGAAAGGTTTTTCTTGTTCAAGTGCCACTGATGAATAATTTGTGATCACAGCCACTAGGACGGCTCTGGAAGTCCTGGAAGTTACTTCCTGAAATATTTAACATCAGTAAATTAATGATATAGAGCAGAATGCACATGCTCTAACCACGTGGCTCTGTCCCATTAGCTGCTCCGTGATTTGATGTGACATGTTTGGGGAATTCTGCTCTTTGGGAATTTTTTTCCTCTCTAGTTGCAGTGGATTGAGCCAGTGACCTTTGCAGAGAGTGGGGAGGAGTTATCAGAACTCCCCCAACTCCATCCCTGCACAAAGCTCTCGACCCACGGCGTGTGGAGATGTCACTGCTGGGTGAGTCTGAGGAAAGCAGGAAAGCAGTGTCGTGCCAAGGCTGAGGTGCAGAGGAATGGCTCCAAGTTTTAGTTCTCTCATTAATTAGCACTTGTTTTCTCTCTGTCTGGCCTCACAGGCCCCTCCACAGAAGAACACAGAGAGATCTCCTTGGCAGAGCCTCAGCACTGGGTCATCTCCAGTCAAGTGAGCTCCAGTCAGCACAGGGGACATTTGCAGATGGGAAGGAGGAATTGCCCCGACTCCACTGCTGCCTGCAGGGCTGGATCTGTGCTCCACACAGGAGATGAGATAAAACAATTGGTCTGGAACCAGCCATGTCTCTTCAGGCAGAGTTTGAGCAGCACAGGTGAGTGTGCTGACCTGCCAGAAGGAATTCCTGCCCACACGAAGGGGATGGAAAGAAGCACACACTCATGCTTCAGCTTTGCATTTGTTTAACTTGGCTCCAGTGGCACAGCCAGGCAAGATCTGGACTGTCCCTGAAAGAACATACAGTCCATCCCCTGTTGCACCATGACAGCCCCTGCCAACAGGGGCACAGCACAAAGAGGCGGGGAGGGGTCTGTATCTCCACAGTGCTGCTGGACAACGGGAGGGGCAGGGAGACGAGGGACACAGAGAGTTTCCAGCCTTAACACAGCTGCCACCCAGCCACAGTGGGTACTTACCATTACAGGCTTCTCTGCCTCTCTGGCCAGCTTTGGAACATGAGGTTTCACCTCTGTGCCCTGGAATCCAGAAGCCATCCTGGAGGATGCCGTGGGTGGACGAGTCGTGCCAGTGGCCGCGTCTCAGCTCACCTGGAAGGAGCAACAATGGAACTCTGGAAATCCAGAATCCCGTTCATGGCAGACCCAAAGGACACACCGGTGTCTCCAGGCTGTGGCATCCCTCAGAAGTGGAGACCACAAGGCCTTCCCACCCCCAATTCATCATTAAACTGTATTTAAGTGGCCAAGTTAAGATTCACAGATGTAAAACCCCAGAATAAACAGTCCCTGAGCCAAAACAGGCTTTTGCTGTGGGTGCAAATGAGCCTGAACAGAACAGAGCAGTTTTGTTTCTCTGCCAAAGAAGAGCCCAGAAGGCTGAACACCGGGAAAGATACTTTTTGCAACAGTGAGAAGGGAAATTCAAAAGGGAAGCTTGCCTAAAACGTGCTCTGGCCCAGTCCCTGAAGGCTGAGCGACCAGCACTGTCCTATGGACTGGCCGGCCACCACTGTGGCTGTTAAACTGTGTTAGCTGTTAAACTGGCTAACACGAAAAGGGGGGGGAGAAGAGCTGCCTATATTGGCCCCTGTGTGCTCTAGGCCTGTTTCAGGCTCACAGCCTGTGAATATTCCTGCCTTCTGTGCCCTGATTGATCTCGGGGGGGGCTGTGGCAAAATCAAAAGGGGGCCACTGTTTTGCTCTCAATGTGAACTAACAGTGTGTCAGAAGATGACTGTTTGCAGGAAGTCCACTTCAGCAGACAGACTTGGAAACTGTGCCACCAGAACTCAAAGTGATATCAATGGAAACAGCTTTTGTGCAGAAGTGAACAAATGTCTTAACAACTGCAAATGAAATACACCAAGACAGAGTTTTGGACTGCAATAAAATTCCTGAAATGAGTCAAGAGTGAGTAAACAAAAAACTAACATAAAAGCTTCTGACACAATTAAGAACTGTTGTAAGATCAACCTGTAACTTCTAAAAGTGGTACATATATATGTGCTATGATTATTGTATCTGTTTTGTTATTTTCTATTCTATTTTACTAAGCAATAGGAATTACTAACCAAAACTCTATTAATATCCAAACTGTCCTTTATTACCCTTTACAAGTTTTCTGGTGGTAACAGGAGGAAAGCAAGTGTCACTTGGCTGCCTCATTCTGCAAGAGCAGCTGACCTGACATGACTTTGTGCCTGGCTAAACAACCCCAGCTGCCTCAGCCACTCCTCATAAGACTTGTGAGGAGGCTGAGGATAGGTAATTTCCTTTACCTGAGGACAGGTAGTTCCCACTTCTCCTTGAGGATTCACTTGCTGTAGTGTCCAGTCTTGCCTGAACCACCATAGGCTACTTGGAGGCTGTGGATAACCTGGAAAATCATAAGCCAGCTGAGGACCTGCTGGTGTGATGATCCATCATTGTCTCCACGTTGGCAGTTTCACAGAAATCAGCGGAACCAGGAGACAATGGAGGGAACCTGGAACGGGGGCGGAACCGGACCCGTGTGTGGATGGAGCCTGGGCAGTGAGTGGGCAGAGCCCAGCCCTTCCTCTCCTCAGGTGTTACAGACCATCCAGCCAGAGCTTGAGGATTTGACCCGGACCCTGAGGCAGGAGAGAGCTCAGAGCTTGCCACTGGCCAAAGCTCAAGAGTGTCTCTGCTCCTGAGCTCCTGTTCTGCTGCAGGAAGTGTGAGTCAGTGTCAGGGCTGGAACACCCCGACCTTCACAGCGTGCACCTGCTCATGGATGGAGTAAAAAGAAATAGCCAGTGGTGTCCTTCTGAGGGGATGAGGGAGGATGAGCCTTTGCTGCGTGGGCCAGTTGCAGAGAAGTCAGCGCTTGGGTTTCTCTACAGAAAAAGGAAAATCCTCTCAGTGCCTCTTGGCAGCTCCTGCTGCTTCTCCGCACTGTATTTAATGTTGGTTTTATATGAAATGTGGTAATACATACTCTGGAGAAGCGAGGACTGCTAGGTGACTGAGGAGGGACCGGGACATCCACCACGTGGGATGGTTGCACGTGGTCTTGGTCACACATCCCACCTCAAGCTGCTGCCACTGGAAACCCCTCAGCACCTGCTGAGCCCCAGAGGGTGCCTCGAGGCTGCTGGTTATGAGCTTCCCAGGGGCTTGGCTTAACCCTTTCCCAGAAATGGCTTTCCCTTGAAATACTTTAGCTGACAACTTGGAGAAGCCTGCCTGCAGCTTCCTGCCCTGCAGGCCTTGGGATACAGCTTGGAAGAGCTGTTCTTGGAAGAACCTGTTGCTGCAAAAGCAAGGTGGGAGAGTAGCCAGATGAGGGTGAAGTGAATGGGGGGGAGGATGGTGGAAAAGGAAAATAAGTAACATCCAGGGTGACATAAGCAGCCAGCAGGGAAAGTTCTTTTTTTAACTTTTTGGTCAGCCCATTGTCCTGTGGTGAAAGTCCCGGCGCCCTCGGAGCAGGGATGTTTATCTGTGTCCTGCATCTCAGTGAGCAGGAAATGATACAGCAGAGCTGAACTCATCTCCTCGTGGCCTCTCCAGGTGTGGGTACAGCTCCTGCTTGGGATCTGCAGGAGCCTGGTTGCTCCACGGGCTGGGCTTGTCCTGGTGGTCCCTCTCCTGTGCTGCAGGAGAATCCCAGCCCCTGGAGGTGTCCAGGATGCAGAGGGAGGTCAGTGTTTGGGAGCCCTGGTTCACCCATACCAGCTCCTAGTTACCAGCACCCTGCAGTGGTGCTATGGGAACACTTGAACAGGACAGAGGAGTTTGCTCATTAACTCCAGGATGGAAGCAGCAATTTTTAGCCGAGGAAGCAATAACTGCCACACGATGGCATCCTCTGCTGCAGCAAGAGACAGAGGCTCTTCCAGCTCAGGAAACTCCGCAGGAGCCTTCCCTGGGGGCAGAGGGTGGTGTGAGCTCCCTGGGGAGAGTAGGACCCTTTCATAGGGCAGGAAAGGACACGTGTCCCTTCCGCATGGCCCCTGTCACCTTAGGGCTGGCAGGGCAGTGAAGGGCCATTCCTGCAGGCCAGGCATGGGTGGGTTTTTCCTTATCAGCCATCCGGTGGGCGCCCGGGGGAAGCGGCGCATCCTCTGCTGGTGGGGGTCTTTCCTCTCAGCGGATGCCTGTCGGGGGTGGCCGGGGGGCTCACAGGGGTCAGCTGCACCACTGCCTTGCACCTCTCCCAGAGGCAGCCTTTGCTCCACCCCCTCCCTTCTGTCACAGCTCGGGGGGTCTTTGAGGGGTCCTGCTGCCTGCAGTCGGGTTGGTCCCTAAATTTCATCCCAGTGGCCTGGAGCGGGTGAAACTGCAGCTCTCTGGAGGTGTGGGCTGGGGTTGGACAGGGAGGATGTCCTGGGGAGGACTCTGGGCTATACTCCAGGTCAGTGAGAAGGGACTTTGGCACATCAGCTCTTCGTACAGACAGTTAATTTTGTTTTGGCACACAGGTGTGAACAGGACTGCCTTCACTCACAGCCCTGGTTTGAGATCAGCTCTGTCCTGGGGGGAAGTTGTTTCCCAAACAACATTTGAAATCCAAGATATGCCTCATTTCTGCTTTCTTCAGTTCTCCTGTGCTACCTCCTCAGGTTGATATGAGGAACCATAGCCCAGGGTAGGAATCTCTCTAATCCCCAGCACCCTCTTTTCTAATTATTCCCAGCCAACACAAAACTGCTAAGGGCTGGCATCTGTAGCCTGTTGTTCTTTTAGGAGACAAGACAGCTGCATTGACCCTAAAAACACACACCACAGCCACAACAGCAGGTCAGGAGCCTAAGAAGCTCTTGCACCAAGTGGTGGGGCAGGTGTGATGCTGCCATGGTCCCAGAAGGAAAGCTTGGGTAAGACAAAAGTGTGCTCCCCTGGGGCCAGGCTGACTCTGGTCATCTAAATACACTGCTGTGGGAGCAGGTTACTAGTGGGGTTATAGCTGAAACCCACAGGAGTCTGGAGGCTCTAGGCAGAGAAGAAGGATACACTTTGTTCTTACAAGGGTGCAGAGAAGCTGGGGTTGGGAGGGAAGGGGTCCAGTGACTCCCTGGTCTCTCAGCTGAGCCAGCAAGGCTTGAAAATGGTTAAGTGCCTGAGCAGGGAAGTGTGTGCCTGGCTTTGTTTTCCTGCCCAGCCCTTGTGTGTTTATTGTGCTGCTTCTTGTAAAGGCTCCTCGGGTGTTGAAAGCCCTGGAGGCTCTGATGTCCCCTTCTAAAGGAAACTTGCTGTGATGGAAGGGCTCAGCTCAGACCTTGGCCCCAATGGCCCCCAGCACAGTCACAGAGATTTTCTGCATCTCTCCTTCACCCACCTTAATGACAAGCTCATGTCAAAGGTGCACAGGTCCCTTCTCCTGCTTGGGAGAGATGGGAAGAGGTGAGGCTTTCCAAGAACAGGCAATGAACAAGCTGCTTCTGGTAAGCACCTTTCTTAGGAACTGACAGCAAGCGTGTGCAGACACATCCACAGGATGGAGGAGTGGGAAGGGGACACTGGAGAGGTGGTGATGGTGCAGGCCCAGGCACGCCGTGGGATGGGGCCACAGGGCTGGCTCTGCAGGAGAGGGGAAATCACAGCACCCCAAGTAAAGGGGTGGCAGCACCTGTGGTCTCCTTTGGTGCATGGAGGCTTCTGTCATGCCCTCCTGAGCAGCCCTACTGGTGCTCTCCACTCTCTTCCCTGCAGGGCAGTAGTAAGACACCACCCTTCAACAGATCATGGAATCTAAGAGCAGTTTAGGTTGGAAGGGAACTTTAGAGGCCATCTAATCCAACCTCCTTGCCATGGCCAGGGACACCTCACACTAGACCAAGTTGCTCAGAGTCCCATCTGACCTGGCCTTGAACACTTCCAGGGATGAGGCATCCACAGCTTCTCTGGGCAACCTGTGCCAGGGCCTCACCACCCTCACAAGGAAGAATTTCTTCTGAATATCCAATCTAAACCTGCCCTCTGTCAGTTTGAAGCCATTCCCCCTTGTCCTGTCACTCCATGCCCTTGTCAAAAGTCCCTCTCCAGCTGACTTGTAGTCCTGTTGGTACTGGAAGGGGCTCTAAGATCTCCCCTGAGCCTTCTGTTCTCCAGGCTGAACAATCCCAGCTCTCCCAGCCTGTCTCCACAGCAGAGCTGCTCCTGCCCTCAGAGCATCTTTGTGGTCTCTGGACTCTCTCCAGCAGCATCATGTCCCTCTTATGCTCAGGGTCCCCAGAGCTGGATGCAGGATTATGTGTCTCTCCTTTACCATGCCAGTTCATGGAACTGTGGCCTTCAGGGCCTGCACAAGGATTGCAACACCAGGATGTCTTCCCATTGCAACACAAGGACTCAGCAGAAGCCAAGGGCTCGGTGTGTTCAGTGAAGTCCACTCTGGCAGAGTCCCAGCACGCTCCTTCCCCTCAGCTGAACACCTGCCAAGGTTCCACCTGTGCCATCCAGACACACTTCCCCACTAGAGCCTTTCCCATCCCCTTCCCTAGGGAAGAGGTTGCTCCCAGTGGCTGTGTCGCTCTGCAGGGTCGAGCAGCTCTTCTCTGTTTAGAAAGAACTTGACGATGTTGCAGACTGAACAGCTCAATGTTTGTTTCTTTGCACACAGTATTTTCAAACAACTTCAAACTTGTTTATTGCAGCGGCCAGTGAAGCCCTTGGCAGCCTCCATGGGGCAGGACCAGAAGGAGTTGTCCTCAGTCCTGGCTGATCCAGCTCACAAGGAGAGGCAGCAATTCCCACTGCAAGTATGCACCTTTCCCTACAATGTCCTGCTGGGACAGGACAGTTGGCAGCTCAGGTGTGATGCTGCCAGGGGAAGAGCTGTGTCCCACAGCCTGGCTGCCTCGGGAATGCTGACTGATATAGCTGTGGAAAGTACAGAATACCAGTGTTCTGCTTTGTCTGCTGGAGCCCAAGTTTGCTCTTATTCATAGTGAAGGAGGAAGACATTATGTTCAGAGAAGTGAAAGCCAGTGTCATGTTAGCTGCTATTTTTGAAAACATTTTCTACATAAAGCAGTTTTCTTAAAATGCAAGTTCCCCCCCCAGACTTGTCGATAGGTCCAAAGTAGGAGTTGTTCCTGTAGAGTTCCAAAGTAGAAGTTGTTCCTGTAGAGACCCTGGCTGCAGACAGCCCCAGACAGCTGCTCCTCATTTCCTGCTTTTTTCGTTAATGTGGGAAAATACAAAGTCTTGAGCTGCCAAACAGATTTGCTTGGTCCTCTGTCTTTTAATTTTCTCCCTTTTTACAGTAACAGCTCAAGAGGTCCCTGTGGAGCACAGAGGCTTCTCCAAAGTGAGAGGCCACCTTTGGGTCCAAGGAACTTTCTCCTGAGTCTGGCACTGGTGTCCTTGGCCAGGAGAGAGGAGGTTGGTGGGTCGGTTCTGGACTGCTCTGGGCCATAGAACCCATTGCTGTGTCATTGGAAAAGCCATTGGTGTTTCTCCATGTTGAAGTCTGGGAATCTGGTCTCGCATCCAGGAACCAGCTGCACCCACTGGCCTCATCTGCAGTAGGTGCCCCACCAGCCCTGGCTCCCAGATCTTGCTGCCTCTGTGCTCCTGGAGAGAGAAGCCCAGCTCTGGTGAGTGTGGGAGCTCTGCCACTGGGGTAGTGCTTTAGGTCCCTTCAGTCTCATGCTCCTGGGCTCAGGTACAGGGGGATTGTGTCTGAGCAGTGGCTGAGCTGCCAACCCCACCGAGGAGAGGTGGGCTAGTGCAAGGATGAGCTGGCACTAGGCAGATGGGAGCCTTATCAGGGGAAAGACAATCTCATGGTATGTGTCTCTCTCCAGTCGTGTGTCAGCCCATCTCCCTTGCAGCATCGAGACTGGCTGGGTCTTCCCAAAAGCTAAGTATTCCTGCAAGCCTCTGGGATGGAGATCATGGACAATATTGTGGACAGCAAAGGATGCTGTTAATACCTGCTCCCAGACCCTGCTCCAGTGTCACCAACTCATGAGGTCTTGGGAGTTCCTGAAGAGACTTTCCATGAAGTGGAAATCATCAGCATTCTCCTCTGATCCTCTCTGGCATCTTTTTCTGGGTCAGATACAGGCTCCCAGCTCTCACTGACTTTTACTTTTCCCCCTGTAATCACCTGATTCCAAGGAACGCAAACCTACTGTAACAAACAGCCCTTCTTGCACAAGAAACCAAAACAGCCAAGGAGCACAAATTTCCAGAATGGAAACTCCCTGAAAGAGACGGGACATGTTCTGGGGCTGTTTCCTGTTTGTTTAGGACACAGCCCACGTTCTTTTTATGTATCCTCTTGCACATAAAGCTTTGCAAGGTCAAGGTGCTTTTTGCCTTCAAGAGCAACTGTCCCAGCACCAGTCATGTGTTCCCTCCACCTGGGAGGACCTTGTCTCTGTGAACAGCCCTGTGGTGGGTGGGAAATGCTGGAGCTGCTTCTGTGGTTTTCCTGGGTAAGATGGGATCTGGACCTTTGACTTGTGGTATCTGTGGGTTGGAGCAATAAGGCCAAAGTCCTTCCTCAGTCATACTGTGATTATTATCTGGAGGAGGGGGGGAACCAACCATCTTCCTGCTATACACTGCTTTTCTTTGGTGCTATGACACCCCTTCAGAGAGCCTTTGGGTGGGAAGGGTCACCTCAAGAAGCCTCCTAAGGAAGAATGGGATGTGCTGGGCTGTGCTGGGCTGCTCCAGCCCCTGCTTCCACTGGAATGATATGACATTCATGGTGGGCTCTCTTCCTCTTCAGCCTTGGTCAACTTTTTCATTCACTGTTTTAGCACAGTCCATGCTCTCTGGTTCCCAGTTATTCAGTTTTCTGTTCTTTGTTTCTCTGAAAGCTGGTTGTCCCTGAGTTGCAAGGTTGCACACTCCATCACTTGGATGCTGTTATTCATCTTTATGGGCTGGGATTGCTGGTGTAGGAGGACACCTGCCTGCCCTCATCCACATCACAATTTAATCTGCAGACCCAGACCCACAATACTGAACAACTACCTGCCATTCCTAAAAGCTAAAGCAAAACCAAATCAAGTGCTCAGATAATTTCTGCTGCAACTAAAGAAGATAAAATCAGCTGAAGGTGAGATGAGCTCAGAGAAGTCCTGAGATCCTCCACTGACAGATCAACACAATGCCTGTGGTTTATCTCTAAGTACAGGTCCTCTGACTTCAGGTTCTTCAATGCTGCAAGACCTCAAAGAAGTGCAGTAAGAGGCTGGCACTGGTGTGCTGGAGGAGCAGCTGTGCAATGGGGTGGGAGGGTGGTGTAGGAAGTGGGTTGGGAGTGATGGTGCCAGTTTTCTGCCAGCTGCAGCCCAGGTTTGTCACTACTCATTGGAGCTGCTTGGTCCCTCCAGCCCTGTCTGTGCTGGTAAAGCAGCTGTGTTACCTGCCAGAGAGTGGTTTGTGCCTTAAAACAACAATGCCTGTGGGAAGTCGTGCCTTTGGCAAACAAAGGAGTCTCCCTCCCACTTACCTGCATGCCAGAGCCCTTCCTCAGTTTTATCCATCGCTGGCAGCAAATCCCTTCGCAGAAGAAGCAGAACCTGTTTCTCGGGGGGGAGATGTGAACGTGTGTGGGCTGTGACATCACTTCCAGCAGCCAAGGTGCCCCATGGCTTCAGGCAATGCCAGTTCCTGGAAAAAAAGTTTCCCATAAATCTCTGCAGAGCCAGAGAAAACACTCATTTGGGGAAGGGGTCTGAAAACATCCCAGCAGCATACTCTGTTTTGGCTGGATCAAACAGACTATTTCAACTTCTAGTTTTTATTTTATTTCCTTGAAATGGGCTCTTTCTTATAATACAATATAAGCAAAGGCTGAAGTCACAGGCTGGGATTTTCACCAAATGCATTGTATGGAAATCTGGGATTTTTCCCTTTCTAAAAATAAAATCCCAAGTGGAGCTATTGGCATTTCCAACAGCATGGAGATGCCAGTTTTCCACCACCCCTAAGAAAACTTAGGGCAAAGAGATAAACAGGGCAGTCACAGCCTCAGTCTTAATCTTATCTTCATCTTCCAATTGAGGGAGTTGGCAGAGGAAAACAGTTACGTGTTCTGCTGGGACCTGAGTTGAAAGAGAAAGTAAAGGTGCAGGATGTGACTGCACTGTTGGTATGTCCGCCCCAGACCTGGCTTGGTGCTGGGGCCAGAAAGCCCCTAGACAGCCTGGCTCTTGCAAAACTGGGGGTCTCCTGCTTTCTGCTCCTGCTTTCAGCATCAGCGAGCCCCTCACGGCTGGGACCCCGTGTATATCAAAAGCCAGGGCTGTCACAGCAAGGACAGGCTGCAGACAGCACGGCCAGGGCACAAGTTGCTGCTTGGGGTGGTCACTGGGTCCCTGCTCACCCCTCTGTTTGGTGATGCTCCTTAGAGCCAGCCTGGCCTGAGCTCACCAGTGCAGCTGATGAACTCGTAATCCTGATTAGCAAATTCCACCCCTTTTGGCCTAACGACCAACGCTGCTGTTATAAAATGGCTGCTAAAAAGGAAGGTAATAACTGCTTTTGCATTTGGAGTAAAGAATGAGCTTGCTGAGCAGTGGGGAGCTGTAGTTGGAGGTGGGGAGAGCTCTACAGAGCCTCAGGGCAGCGGTGCCGTGGCACAGGCTGTCTGGCCAAGACTCACATTGGTGGGAGAGGAGGATGGAGCAGCCGGCCCGTGAAAGCCCCTGCATGAATAATTTGCCAAGTAGGCTGGAGCTTCTCTGCATCTGGGGAATTCCAGCGGCCATCCAGCTCCAGAGCAGCCGGTATTCCCTCCCCTGTCCCTCTCTTCCCTCCGCCTCCTGTCGTCATCCTGAGCCACGTGTGAGGGAGCTGAATACCATCTGAAACCCCAATCTCAGGGCTTTATAATCCCGGAATGAGCGGCAGCAGCTGTGTTGCTCCGGAGGATGCAATAAGCAGTCGGGAGCGGGGAATACTGCCAGTAATCCTTCTCTGCCTGCCCTTCCTCCTGCCGACCACGGGAACATGAAGGCTGTTTCTGTCCAGATCCTGCTTGTGCTGAGGGCCTTGTGCCTGGTCACCCTGGCTGGAGGTGAGCCACAGCTCCCCTTGCCCCCCCAGGGAACAGCCAGGTTCACCGGGGAGGGGCGGGGAGGAGGAATGGTGATGGAGCCGGGGATGGTGATGGATGAGGGTATGGGCACCTGGGGACCATTATGGGCTGCAGGAGATCTCCTAGCAGGACCAGGCTGGGTTTGGGAAGGGGTAAGGGGTATGACAGCAATCCTGGCAGTGGGGAACATCCGTGATGGCTTTGGCCACTCCTGGGGGCAGGTGGGGAGAGTGTCAGAGAGACTTCCGATAATCCGTATTAGAAAAAAAGCATGATGCACTTCTTTTCCCTTTTTCCTCGTGTCTCCTAAGGACGTGGCAGGGAGACTACAGCCTGGGCAAGGATGGGTGTCTGTCCACACAGGCTCCCGGTCCTGAGGGTGCCGGTGCTCCCATCCCTGCGAGGCAGGGGGGGGCTGTCACCTGCGGGGTGTGTGTGTGTGTAGGTAGGTGTGTGTAGGTATGTGTGTGTGTGTGTAGGTATGTGTGTGTGTGTATACAGGTGGGAAATTATTATCCTGTTCCCTGGATAAAGATCTTTGCGTGCTCCGGGGTCAGAGGACCGGGAGGTGGTGGGCTCCCCTCTGCCGGGGCTGGGCTCAGTGTCAGTCACCCATGGCACAGGTCAGCAGGGTGGGTGCCAGGCTCTCAGCACTGCAGGCGAGGCTGGACTTTGCCCAGGACCAAGGCGTGACCTATTCCCACCGTGGAAAGGGAGAGGGGCAAAGAGCCCTTAAGATCCGTGCCCTGCTGCCACCAGACGGGAGGAGCGAGGACAGGACGGGCGGCTGGGGATGGAGCTTCTCCCTCTCCTCACACCTCTGGGCAGGTTCTCCAGGGCTGGCTGGAGAAAAGGGGGCACCAGGGACACAGGTATCCATCTTTCCTGCAGTGAGGAAATCAGGCTGGCTCTGCAGAAGGGCTGCTGGTGCTCCCTGGCTGGGGTCTTTTGAGGAACTGTGCTGAAAAGCCAGGTACCAATGGCTCCCAAGAGTCATGGTCCTGGGTGGGTAAACTCTCAGATCCCTTTGGCAACAATTCATATGCAGCTCGGAGAAGCAGGGTTGTGTTCCCCAGAAGGAGGGGGACCACCAGTGCTCCCTGTGACACCCTCTGCCCTTAGAAGGTGCTTTCCATGGTCCTCTGGGAAAAACCCACCAGGAGTTCAGCTAGTTGCAGACCATTTGCACTGGTGCCAATAACTGGAAAATCAGTTTGGGGTTGTCAGAGGAGCAGGGCCTTTGGGAGCAGTCAGGGTCTGCTGCCCACCATGCACATCCCCAGTGGCCCACAGGGATGGTCTGGTCCTGTTGTCACTGGGCTTGTTTTGTGGAACTGTGTTCCTGAAAGTGGAGGACACCAGCAGAATGTCCTCTGGCTAATGAGAGTTAATTGGGAAGTTGGTTGCCATGAGCAGGGAATTCTTGACCCCGAAGTGCCACAGAAAACATTTAGTGTGTGAACAAAGAGTTTTGCTTTAACTTTACAGACACCTAGAAACCAAACCAGGCTTTTGTACAGGAGCCACTGGAGTGTTTGCCTGGGATTTCTTTGCAACCATGGCATTCTCCAGTACATGGATCAAAAGAGCTGAGGGTGCTCCCATAGTGTTGCTCATTCTTGCATCCAGTGTCTGGATCGTTCCCAACTGAACTGCATAAAATTCACCAAACTGCTATGGAAATGTGAGGCAACATTTTGGAGAGACAGCCTCATTGAAACCAGACGCCAGCTCCTTTCTTCACGGGGCCCTCAGATAAGTCAGGGCTTGTTTTTCTAAATCCTGCCCCCTGGGCTGTCAGGAACAAGTTGGCAGGATGCACTGTGCAACCTTCCTTCACTTGGCAGGTGCCTGTTGTGGGAGGCTGGAGGTAGATACAGGCATGAAGGGTCCCCCGTGGTGTGACTGGCTCTGCCCCCTGAAGTGGAGTTTTATTTTTGCACTTTGCAAAACGAGAACCGTATTTTCCAGCGGGGATTGAAAAGTCGTGTTTGGGAAGCTGGGCTGCTGAGGTACCTGTGGGAGTGATTTATCATTCACCAAAAGGTTCTTTCTCTGAGCCCAGGTGGCATTCAGAGACCATGTGCCAGCAAAGAGAGAGGCAGGGTAGGATGATCACCTGGAGGGGAACTCCTGTAGGACGAAGAGATAAGACCCAGATAGGGAGAGGACAATCATCCTGCTCTCTGGTCTGCCTGTCCTGCACCAAGAGCTCTCTGGTGAAGGTTGCAGCAGGTCTTTTGGGGGTGACAAAATGTGGCACTGTGCTGGGTCCTCCTGTGACCCAAAAGGGAGAGGCCCTGCAGGTCCAGGGGCTTGCACAAAGGACCTGCAGCCAGCGCTTGCACATCCTACAAGACAAAAAAGCCCCACAATTTTCACAGTGCTTTTTTTCCCCTCAGTTTTCTGGGTATCTCTTCACATGTATGGGTGTTAAAAACCATCTTGGATTTGTCTTCATTGGGATTTGCCTTCATCTCAGTTTAGCAGGGATTGGAAACTTCCGCGCCAAGCTTTGGGCTCCTTCGCCCGAGAGAAAAGAAACGGCACCAGTTTTTATAGTTCCCTAACAAAAAGCCAACGTTTAACAAGTTGAAAACTTTATTTCAGGGCAACCCAAAGCGCCTCTGAAGTGTTCAAATGAGTGCTCTGGTTTTACATCTGTGATAGCAGAGAAGAGGATAAGGAGCTACCGCCGGACCGAGCCCGGATGCGCAAAACAAGCCATCATGTAAGTGCTGCCCCACCACTGGCCACGAGTGACCCTGTCAGCAAGGGCCCTGGGTCTGGAGCAAGGGACAGCCTGGAACACAGAGCAAACACTGGTGTGTTTATTTGAAGGGTGGTGTTTTATTTTTCCCCCTGTTTAAAGACCGACAGCTTCCAAGTTGGGCTGGACGGATGGGGAAAGGGACTGAGGGAGGTGCTTGGCAGAACAGGGTGGAGGAAGCACGCAGGGAGAGAGCCCATGTGTTTCTGTGAAAGCAGATATTTTCTCTGGAGACAGATTCAGACTTGTCTGGAGTTGAGAAAAGTTCAATTTTTTTCCCTGGGATAAATTGTTATTTTCATTTTACCCTGAATTTGAGGCACCATTGACACCACTTTATTGCAGCCCAGGGGGTGGCTCCAAAGTGAACCTGCTGGGCTGACCTTGGAAAGCCTCACATCACCCAGTCAGCCAAAACTCAGAGGGTTTGCCTTCATGCTTGCTTGCCCCTGAGCAGATGGTGCCTGCAGAGCTTCTTGTCCCGAGTGCAGGAGGAAAACACCATGTCCAAATATCAGGACAATGCTTTTGAAAGAGAAAAAGCTTCCTAGGGGAAAACCCTTCACCCATGAGTCACATTCAGCTGCTCTTTATCAATCAGATTTCAGAGGCACCTGCCCTTCCTGGAATAAATCATCCAGCCAAACAGTGGTGTTTGCTATGGGCTTGGGAGGGCCAGTGTTGCTGTCTGCACCCGTCTGCACGCCTTCCCCATGGCGCTGGTCACCTAAACCAGTGTCTTCTGTATCCACTAAGTGATGCCTTTTTATTTTTCAGATTAACTACTGTGAAGTCTAAGGAGTTTTGTGCAGATCCAGAGGCTGAGTGGGTGAAGAAGATTGTAGAGAAACTGGACCAGAAAAAGGCCACAGCCTCCCCACTTAGGCATGATGAAACCTCACCAGAAGAGGCTGGTGATGTTCAGAAACAGGTTGGTCTTCCAGTGAGGGCTCCATCTCAAGCCACTGCTCCAGCTGGTTTCTTCCAAGGGACCAGCACAACAGCCTGGGAGAGAATACATGCTCCTACTGCGAGGACAGAGGTGTCCAGCAAGTCCCCCCCAGCCAGGCAGGACAGCACCCAGCTCCCTGCAGGGTCACCCTCCGGGACACAGGAATATGCTGCACGCCCTGAGGTCACTCCAGAAGCAAACAGAGACTCCTCAAATTCTCCTGCATCTTCAACAGCTCTCACAGCAGGCATGGACTCCAGCCAGCCCAGCCCACATCCCACAGCTCGTGTGCATGGCTTTTACAACACCATGAGATCTACAGAAGAATGTGCAGGACATACTGCAAATGCTGCAGCTGATGTTCAAGACACAACTTCTCCTGACTCAGATTCGGACCCAATGGCAACTACTAAAGGATCAGACAAACCTCTACTTTCTACAAGTGAATCTCTGGACTCTACAAGTGCCAGGGCCAATGCACCAGACACTGCTTCCAGCAGTTCTAGATCAGATCTCCCCTCCACCCTGGACAGTGTGGACATTGCAACACTCCCAGACACACCAATTCCACCAGAAAGTAGTTCAGTTTCTACTCTGAACTCCACCATTGCCACAGACAAAGGGGCTTCTGTCCATAGCAACAGGGTTGTTGGTTCCTCTACAGATGGGTCTGGTACTAGAACATTTGATTATTCATCACCTGTAGGAAAGCAAGAGCCTTCTGATACGTTAGTTTTTGCTGGCCAGGCGTTCTCAGGCCAAGCCAGGGTGCAGACGATCACAGACAGGCCAGATGATCAGCCTCTGTCCAGCCTCTTGTCTCAAACACACTTTGTCATCCCCGTTTCTGTGGTAAGCGGGGTGACCGTTTGCACTGTTGCTCTTGTGTGGCTGTACCTGAAGTTTGGAATGAGACCAGAAGAATCATCGAGAGAAATGGTGCAGGGCTTGCTCTACCAGAGGGCAGGACATCAGAACAATGCCTATCCAATGGAAGTAATCTGAGTGCTTCATGGCATGGACATTTTTGGCCTAAACTATATGTGTGTGTTACTGCAGAAAAGCTGTTTATGCTGAACAGGTGACCACCGGTAGGAAGCAAGCCAGGGAACAAAAATACCAGAGAAAACCTGTATTTTTGCAGAGCAGAATGTCCAACAATACATCTGTTTCATCATTGACCAATGACAGTGTTTTGGAAATCATTGAGACACTTCTTTTCTTCTGGCACTGTTACACATGACGGCTGTGGCTGTTCTTGCTCTGCTGGTGGCTCTTTGCCAGGGGGAAGGCAGAAGTGGATTCCCAAATTGCTGTTGGGAATTTTTCTGTGATTCATCATGGCTAAGCCAAGAAGCCACTCACTTACCCACACTGTTGGACTCAGGCTCAGCCACCCCAAGCAACCTTAGCACCAAACCCACACGATTTGCACTTAAACTCTCTGCTGCTTCTCTGTGTTTCAGGTCTCTGCTCTGTCAGACCAAGGCCAAAGCTGGGTGCTGGCTCTCCTTGGGCTGATCAAATGTACTCTAATTATTTCTTCTTGCTGCAGACACGAGGGATAGCCCAGCTTTTCAGAAAGAGGTGACCATAACTGCATCTGATCAGGGTGCTGAAGGTCAGTGCTACAGACTTCGTGTTCACAGAAGCTGGGAACCCACAATCTGTCTCCTCCTTGAAATCAGGCCCTTCCTCTCAACAGCATTTCTTCTTGCAGATGTGGTCTGAGACCTGCTCCTTAGGAAATCAATGCAATGAAACCCTTCTGCCAGCTGATGTGCCCTGTGTCCAGCTGCATCCAACACCAGGGCAGGATAATGCAAATGATTCTTTGCAAATGGGAGAAAACAAGAAGTCACCCAATAGTGTTGCTATTCCTGTGATAACATTGGAACACTTTTGCTGTTCTCTGCAAGCAAAAAAAACCCAGGAAATAATCTCTTGGAGGAGCTAAAGACAATTCTGGATTTAGTCATGTAGGAATTACTCCACCACGGCAGATGTAACATCCTTCTGCTTCCATAGTCTCTCTAGAAATAAGGACATTTGCTGATGCACCAAACAAACAAACAAACAAAAAAGGAGGAAAAAACAAGAACAAAATGGCTGTTCATAGTTCTACACTTCATCTGCATTTTAGTTTTTCCATCCTGGATAGCACTGACCACCAGGCTATGAAAGCATCCTAACAGTAACAGGCTTTTTTTAAACCCAAGTTGATTTTGCTTTTCACACCTCCAGGCACTGCTGTATGTAAGCTTTATGTTTTATCTGTGGTCAGGTCCTGAAAGCCCTTATTAGACTTCGACCCCAGTGTGAGTTTTGCTGGAGTGTGCAAAGGTCTTCACGATACGATGCTTTGTGAGTAGATACATATCAAGGGTCAGATCCTCCTCCAACCAACCTCAGTGGATCAGATCCCAAAGTATGAATATGCACGTAGAAAAAAAAGGAAGGAAAAGCACATAATAAGCAAGATCATCAAAGCAAAAATGAGGGGCCAGCTGTGAGGCAGAGCCTGAGGAAGGCAGCCTGTTAAACCCATCAGATCACCCCTTCACAGCATCCATTCAGCCCTGCAGGTGGAGGGGACAGACAACAACTGTGTTTGTTTTCTGCCATCATACAGCCCCTTCTTTCTGCGTTTTGTTGACTCGAGAGAGGGGAGCCAGGGATTCATCTGGGGGTTTGCAAGTGTGGAATGCAATTAGATTAATTGCATGTGGGGTGAAACCCTTCCTTGTGCAGCCCAGCTGTGGAACGCTGGCTGGCAAGGATTTTCCTGGAGGGTGAATCAGGGGCTGTCAGTGCCACGTCCTCGTCCACCCCACTTGTGCACAGTCAGGATTTGTGAAGCACTGTATGTGGCATTATTTTTATATAAAACACTAGAAATGTTATTTTTGTAGTAAAGTTTTGTAGCCTTTTGAATGTATGCGATGCCCTGTCTGCGCTGCTTGGAGCTGAGACCTTTCTGGGAACACTGGAAAACACTGTGCCTTGTTTATTTTCTTGCTGGTCTGAGACGGCTTGTGCATGTCCATGGGAGCAGGATCACTCTCCAGGCCCTTCAGCAATCGGGGTGGACACCTGTCTGGCTACAGGTGAAGTCCTTGGCTTGAAGTGACGCTGGGGAGATGAATGTGCACCAGTCAGATCCCCTGGAGTCCCACAGTGCTATTTGTAAGGACACTGGTTTCAGCTCCACGGGTGGCTCCCGTCGTCTTCCAGCTGCCACAGTCCCACTGGAACTCCTCAGGAGGAGCTGCTCCTCCAGCCTGGCCCTGTCCTTGTCCTTGCCCTGCTCCCCTCTCCTGTTCCTGGGCTGTTAGCAGGGAGGGCGCTGGCAGCACTCACGGGGGGCAGTTAAAACCCGGGGCAGGGGGGACACCACTGTTCCTCCCTGTGCCATGGGCGGCCTGGGAGGGCACAAGGTGGATGCTGGCACAGAGGGACAGAGCCTGTGGGTGCCACCAGTTCCTGGGGTTAAAATATCATTTGCTGTAGAGCACAGTGACTGTTACAAGCTCCGATTTGTTTTTGTATTGAATGTGTGCATGACATATATGAGCTGTATGGTTTTTTTTTAGAAGTAAATAAAGTCCTTATGTTAAAGAACTTTGATCCTCAAGGGATTGAGCCCCGGGCTAGGTTACTGAGCCTGGGCCCTGCAGAGATGGACACGTGTGATTGTGCACTGTGGAGGGCATTCCAGCATCACCAAGAGACAGCAAAGCCAGCTGTGGCCAGGCTATTGCTCCACCTCCTCACTCTGTAAGGGTTTCAGTCTTGCCAAAAGTTTACAGGAAATATATTTCCTCACAGGGATTTGTAGTTCCCATCCTTCTAAGGCAGTAAAGAAAACAAACAGATGGGTTTTTGCTTTGGTTAATCAAAGCTATGGCCAAACAGCAAACAACAAACATCACCCTCCAAGTCTATTCTGTAACAGGGCAAGAGAGCAAGGGCTGAGCTAGGACCTCTCCCACCCCAGCCAGAGCTTGGGCTGCCCTTACGTGCTCCTCTGGTGCTGGGGAGGAGAGGTGGGAAAGGCAACTCCATGAAAGACTCAGTGCCCTGGGGTTTGCCTGGAGTGGGGAGCTGAAAGGAGCAAGAGGGACAAAGCATCTCCCGCGTATTCCAGGAGCCCTCTCCCAGCCCCACAGATGAGTCACCAGGCCAGAGAGGTCATTGGTAGGATAAGAAACTCTGTGAAAACAAAAGCACTTTTTTCCCCTTCTCTTTTCCCCTCCCTGCCGTGGGGGAGGGCGGATGAGGAAGGAGGGGGCTGTGCAGAGAAGGCGGCCCTGGAGCGATGAATCATTTCCGACAGCAGAGCAGGCGCCAGCGTGGGGCCATTCAGGGCTGAGCCTCTGGAGCACCACGGGAGCCTTTGGATGCCCAGTCCCTGGGCTGTGGGTGCCACACGCTCGCTGGCTTCGCTGGTGTCTCTGTGGCAGTGCAGGGAAAGACCTCGTGCCAAAGGTGTCCCTCCACACACCTTCCTGTGCTTCTCCTGGAGGGCCATGGGCTGCCTCAGGTGCAGAATTTGGTGCAGGAGGTAACTAATGCCAAGCCTGTTCTGCTCAGGTGGGACAAGGGTTGCATTCTGCACCTCGTGTGCAAGACACGTGTCCTGCCTTGAGGTTTCCCTGCAGCCCACGGGAGATGGGGGACCCACGGTCATGGTGTGCCCCTTCTCACCTCTTGCTGACCCATGTCTTTGGTTTCCAGCTCCACATCGTCTCCACCATGTCACTAGCCAGCTATTTTGATTGACCTTATGAGAAGGAGTAGTCACTGGGATCCCACATGGTCTCCCCTCCATGCCTTCACCTCCCTACAGGATCCATCAGATGGCACAGTGCCAGGCCTTGAGGGCACTAATTGGCCTTAATCATCCTGACCAGCCTCATCTGTGAGTGGATTCACCCCCACAACACACACCCCCCCAACCCTCTGCCCAAGGACCAGGAGCCACATCTAAGCTCAGGCTTGAGCCTGTGGTCCCTGCTTTGGGCCTGCTGTAAGTGCTGGTCTGCAGTCCTGGCTCTGCTCCAGTCCCTTGGACAGACCTTGGATCTATACTGCAGGTATCTTGTCTCCTGGCTGGCTGGATCCTCTGGTGTTGGAGCCCTGTCTCTGTCTCCATCTCCTACTACAGCTGAGTGGATTCCCCCAACCCTCCCAAACAGATTCTGGATCTGCTTCCTTACATTGATCTGCCTGGGGCTGCTGATGGAGCCTCTGACCAGCCTCTGGCTCTGCCCCCCGTGCTCAGACTCTGTGGGCTCTCACCTCACTAATGAGGACACTGCCTGTGCTGGGGTCACCCTTGGCTCCAGCCTTGTCCCCTCTCACTGCTCCCTGCAGTCTGGACCTCTGCCATCATCTTCTCCAAGCCCTGACTTCCCTCCAGGGCGATGCACGAGGTGCGCAGTGATTCCTGTGAAGCAGAGACACAGCCATCTCCATCCTGCCTGGTCTGAGACTTGTTTTGTGGTTTATGACATGTCTGTCCCTGCCTGGCACTGTGGTTTTCCTGTGAAACATTGCATAAGAGCTTTCATATCATACTGGGGGAGCCTCTGGCCAAGCTGAGGTAGCACCACTTTCACACCGCTGGCTCAGCAGAGGCTGTTTGGGTCCCTGTTGCACAGCCACAGTTCTGCTGCGTGGCTGTGGGTCTGCCAGGCTTTGTGTTTGCCTAATCTCCATTTTTAGGAGGATTGTGCCCCATTCCTGTCACTGCAAGGTCCGCTCTTGTTGCCAACGTCCCCCTTGGGTAACATAGAGGTTGTGGGGACTCTGCAAGATCATGTCCCTTCAGTGACTCTCCCAGGTGATGGAGGAAGACTCATTTCTTGAGCCTTCAGAACTCACCCTTCAGAATTCACCCTTGAATTCTGCCATGAAGAAAATAATTTAAAAAAAAAGGAAAAGATAGAAATAAGTGAGAGTTGCCCTCCAAGGAGGGATGTGATGTCAGTTTGCCAGCTCCAAACACAGCCATCACAAACACTTTTTCACTACAATATCTGAGGGCCTTAACATGTCTTTCTCCTCACATTCTTTAACTGCATTTATTTTTCTGATTGCTTGGGTTTCATCCTAATCAAACACTAAGGAGCATGGAAATTCATAACTTGCTATAGTGCCTTCTTGGAATTATCAGGACTAACCCTGCTCAGATTTAAATCACTGACAATTAGGCTGCAATTCCTTCCAGTCCTATTTTTTTCTGTTATCACAACTTTGCTTTAAAAGCTGAGCTGAAGCATCTCTCTATTGCCAGCTAAAACTCTGGGAGCTCAAAAGGGGTCAGGATTGAAGAAAGGAGGCTGAGTCCTCGCCAGGCATCATTTCCCCTGTTAGCCACCTGACACAGAAGCCTCTCCAGCATGGAGTCTCCCTGACACCCCCAGGTCCACCCTCACTTAACCCCGGGGCAGTTGATTAACCTCACCGGATAAAAATAGAAAAATATTTCCTTTTCAGAGTGTTCAGAGAAAATTGGCATCAGATCCTTCTTTTTATCTTCCTTAGCAAAGTGGAGTCAGCTTCCCCTTTCTGGCTCACGTGCATCCACCTCTGCCTCCATGGTGGTGAGGGCTTCCTGCTCTGCCACAGGGAGTTTCTTTTCTGTCCCTGTGCCAGTGGACGAGCTTGCCCAGCAAATCAGGGCCGACAGAACCCTGGGGAAGGGCTCCTGGACATGGCCTTCCTGCAGCCTCCGTGTCTCGTGGCTCCGGGCAGGACTTACCGCGCAGGATGCGTCCTGGATCACCAACTTACAGTACCTGGTGGTCCCCAGTGTCCGTCTGTAGGAAGCAGGCTTTGGAAGAGACTCTCATTTTCCTCGTTTTAAGAGTGTCTTTCCAGGCTGTAGGACCTGGCACAGTCGTGCCTGGAGCCACAGGGTGAGCTCTGACTCCGGGAAGGAACAAGAGGATCGCCTTTTGTTCGTGATTACATCCTGAGTAACCAGAGCTTGAAAATGGAGCTGGGGACACCCTTCAGTGAGCACCCCAAGGAAATGTGGAGGGGCTTTACACTCAGAAAGCTGAGGGTTTAAAA